AGGAGAGCTGGAGATAGCCACCACCTGAGGGAGTGTCGTACTCTCAGAGGTATGCCTACCCTCTTCCGGGATGCACTGATTTGTTGTCTCTGAAACGGGAGCATGAACCATTGCAGTTCTCTTGAGTGCAGCCTTGCCCAAGGAACTATTGCTATGGTCGATATCATCTTCCCTAGCAGCTGGGAAAGGCAGACCAGCGTCACTGACTGACCGCGGCTTACCTGTTTTACGGCTTTCTTTATGCTGCTGAGGCGTTCCTGTGATAGGTACACCTTGCATTCCTTTGTGTCTATGACCGCTCCCAGGTGGAGTATTCTCGTAGTTGGGGTTAGATGGCTCTTTGGAAAGTTCACCGAGAAGCCGTGGTCCTGCAGCATTTTTATCACTAACTTTAGGTCCGCCCGAGACTGCTGGGCGGACGATGACTGGATTAGAATATCGTCCAGGTAGCACTGGACTCTGACTGGTACGTTTCTTAGTTGTGCTGCCAGAACCGCCAGAATCTTGGTGAACACCCTGGGCGCTGATGACAGGCCGAATGGAAGTGCCCTGTATTGAAAATGGTGCCCCCTGTAGGCAAACCGTAGAAAGCGGCGGTGAGCCAGAGAGATAGGGATGTGCAAGTATGCCTCCGTGAGGTCGATCGATGCCAGAAAATCCCCTTTCCTTACGCTTCCAAGGATGGAGCGTAGTGTCTGCATTTTGAATTTGCGGTATTTTATGTAGAAATTTAGCCTTTTCAAATCCAAAACGGCTCTCCAACCCCCCGAGGGTTTTGGGACCACGAAGAGGATAGAATAAAACCCCTGGTCTCTCTGGTTCATAGGCACCGGCTCTACGGCCCGTATGTTTAGAAGGTGCTGAACGGCCTCGTTCATGAGCCTTCTCTTTGTTGGGTTTGTGGGACAGGGGCACGGGCGGAAGCGGTTCGGGGGCTTTGAGAGAAATTCTAGAGATAGACCATGACGTATGGTGTTCCTGACCCATACGTCCGTGGTGGTCTCTTCCCACTGGGGAGCAAACCCTGCTAGTCTGCCCCCTATGGGAAGGTCTGGGCGGGAGTCATCTGGTACGGCGGAAGGGGCGGTTGTTCCCCCGAAAGGGCCGTCTTCCCTGTGTTTGCCTATGTCTTGTGTTCTGTCTGTCCCCCTGTCTTTCCCTATCCTGTCTAGCTTGGAAGGGTTGGGAATTTTGAAAGTAGTTGACCCTGGCTTCCGTACGAAAGGATTGTTTCCTTCCCCAGGAGCCGGGTCTCTTGTCCTGCCTTTTAAGCATGTGTTTAAGGACCTTGCGCTTGTCCTTGTTCTCTGTCAGGTATGGCGTTAGTGCCTCACCAAACAGCTTTGCCCCTTGGTACGGAGCCGAAGCCAATTTCCACTTGGATTTGGTATCCGCCTGCCAGTTCTTTAGCCAGAGGATGCGCCTGCTCGTGTTGTTTGCCGCCATTGCCTTGGCTGAAAACTTGGTCGCTAAAAGTGTTGCGTCCGACGCATATTCCGTGGCCGCTACCATTTTGCTGAGTTCCTGGTGAGTGCGTATATCCTCCATGGGAACCCGGCCCTGTAACTCACGGAGCCAACAAAGTGTGGCTCTGGAGAAAAAGGACGCAGAGGTAGACGCCCTGGTAGCCCAAGCTATTGCCTGGTGCGTTCTCCTGTAGTTGGACTCACTCTTTCGGTCCTCGGCTTTAAGAGCCTCAGCAAAATCTCCTGATATGGCCGTGTCCGATATCAGGGGACCTATGGGTTCGTCCACCACCGGCACCTCCAATGTTCCCTCTAGCTCCCTTGCTACGTTAAATAGCTTCCTCTCCGCATTGCTAGGAAGCGGTAGGGAGGTTGGCGCTGCCCACTGTTTCCTTATTGTGTTTAGGAACATGGTCGGGCATGGTATGCGGTGTTGAGTGGTTACCTTTTCGGCGAACGTCGGCTCAGCCTCCGTGTCAACTGTGACAGGCTCCGCTGGTGTCCCATGCCCCAGATGGGCTGTGGCCTCAGCCTTGCGCAGAATAGTAACAAAAAGAGAAGGGTTAAACAGGCCGCTGAAGGACGGCCCTTGAGGTGAGGTGTCCTCCTCCTCCTCAGACATTTGAATCCCTTGTGACGTACCTGGCTGGTCCAGGTAAGCTTCCTCAGAGACCGACGAGTCTGAGATGGAGGAGAGGTCCTGATGGTCCTCCGTTTCCTCCCGATGCCTCGTTCTAAGTCCTAGAGGCTTGGCTTTTGAAGTTTGAGCCCTGGCCTCAAATGCACGGTCCACTGCCTGTGCTATTAGGGTAGCTAGCAGATCCCCTGTCAATGCAGGAGGAGTGACCATTGCCTGCGACCCTGCAGGTGCTGTGGTTAGCATGGTCCTCGGGGTTTCCTGTAACCTCCGTGGGGAGGGGGATCGGGAGAGCGATGAGAATTCGCCTATCCCACCCTCTGTTTGGGACTGTGATGAGTTCCCTAATGACCAAATGGCCCGTGGGGATGAAGGGAGACCCAGCGGTAGGTCAGGACCTATTCCCCCATTCTGCCTATTTTCAATTCTGGCCCTTTTCTGGGCTCTGTCGAACTCTTTTTCTAGGGCTTGGTGTCTTCTGATTGCCTGTTTGTCAGCCTTCTTTGATGACTTCCTTGCAGCCTTTCTAGGGGCTGCAGAGGATTCCGAATCCTCTGAAGCAGGTGCTCCAGAGGATGAAGGCGGGGCTCCAGTGGAGGGAATGATTGCTTCCTCCATTCTCCACTAACGCTGGGCCGCGATAGGGGGGACCCAGGTAGTAGGAGAGCTCCAACTTTGAGTAAGGACAGGCGCACTACTGGGGGCGTCTGGAACTCAGGAGCAGACTCTGCAAAATTGTCAGAGTTAGTCACTGTGCACGGATAAGAACAGGCACGCTAATGGGAATGCCTGGAACCCGGCTTGACTATGGTGGGTAAGGACAGGCACGCGACTGGGGATGCCTGGAACCCACCACTAAATCCAGAGGCGTACGGGCCACTAATGGGGGACCCGAAGTCTGGGAGGAGCCAAAGGCAACTAAACACAGTTAGTTATGAAAGGTTCTTATTTACTTTAGGTAGAAGACACCAAGTCCTGGAACCAGTAGCTATGTGTCTGATTTGAATGTCTCTGAATGAATAATAGATGCTTTAGTACCCCAGTACTGCTTGCCTATTAATTCACTCCAGCGGCTGAACCTAGCTTTCTTAAGGAACTTTAACTCCCCTGTTTGGACAAAAAATATGGCCGCCGCTGCCAGGAAACTACTGCGCATGTGTTAACAAGGCTGCCTATGCCACGTGCGGTTGTAACAAAGAGCTGCGCGTGCTTCCAGCTGTGCAGACAATGGCGCCTCGTTTAAAAAATCCTGAGCAGCCTGGAGTGAAAAGACTGCTCCTTCGCACGCCAGCTGTTTCCCTTAATCAATCTCCCTCCCAGCATGCGTCCCCTTTGTCCTCCGCTTCCCTTGCTAACTGCTTGCCTTTCTGTCTTTTTTTTGTTTGTTTGTTTGTTTTAAACGCGAGGGGTTGCCCGAGCCTCCCCGTTTGTTTAAGGCGGCTGCCGGCTGCTGGAAGGTGGCTGGGGTTGGTTAGGGAGGGGAGTTAGGGATTTCCCCCTTTTAAGTGGGGGTGGTTTCCCCTGTAGGAATCTGACTTCCTGAGTTTTACAATTTAGCAAGGAAATTTTTGAGTGGTCAATTAAATTGAATTAAATTATCTCTAATTAACTTTTAAACTAAGCAATTTCAGCTACTAGAAAAAATCCCCCTTAATGGAAAGGAACTATACCTGCCCAGGAGCCAAAAGTTGTAGATGTCTCGCATGGCCAGATCAGTCAAGACTAAAGGATCATGGTCCAAGACGGGGCGTGGCAACTTTGGCTGACTGATCTGATTGGCCAGGAATACAGTCTCAACCCACTGCGTGGATTATCCATCTCCAGTGCTGGAGAAAAAAAAAAGCCAGCTGTTGTTTTTTTCTGGAGATTCTCAGTTAGGTACTTAAGATTCAGGGCACAAGACCCAGAAGACCACTCAGATTAATTAGACATGTTAATATTCTGCAAAAGACTAAAATGCTAAAGAATTCTTGAGTGCCGGTCTCCACACATATGTGTTATGGCTACCTTGGGGAAGATTTCATTATTCACAGTGCATTATGATGCAGGATGTGGCCAAATCACCGAACACCAGTTTACCACAAGGCCAACTCATAACAGTTGTGTGCCATCCCATTCTCTATTCCCTCCCTAGCAACTGATCTTTTTTTTTTTTTTTCTGAGTTGATAAGGAGAATTCAGTGTAATATTCTGGATTACAGCCACCCACAATTTTTATTTTCTAAGGATGTTTATGGAGGTACAGTATATCTTTGTAGTGTGCCAGCTCACTATTTATTTATTTATAATGAAAAGAATCTAAGAAAAAGTCAGGTGGATTAGGTAGCCTGGTATGAAAAGTAGCGGATGTAGGTAACAAACAACCTTCCTTTAAAATGTATTTTAATGCTTTGAAAATACATTGATGCCGACACTTTCTAATGCAGTGTTTCTCAACCTTGACAATTTTAAGGCATGTGGATTTCAACTCCCAGAATTCCACAGCCAGCAATGCTGGCTGTGGAATTCTGGGAGTTGAAGTCCACATGCCTTAAAATTGTCAAGGTTGAGAAATACTGTTCTAATGCATCATGGAATTAAATTTAATTAGTTAACTTCTCAGGTGGAAAAACAGTGGGATAAAGTGCATTAGGATTTAAAGTAGGCCTAGCTTAGAAATAGAAATCCAGAAAAACACTATGGGGAAAGAGAGACTTTGCACTATGGGAAACAAGGAGTTGTTGGAGGGGAGAAAAGCAGATTGTCCCTTTCCTCTGGACTTCCAACTAGCAAATCCCTCCCCCCAAGAAACACTTTGGAGTTTTTGAAGGACAAATGCAATTTAGCAAATAAACAAGTCAGTATTCAACCATACAAAATCCTTTTATAGATTCACCATTAAAGTTCATTAAACTAACCTTTGATTTCTATTTTAGCCTTCTTTGCCTTTGGTGGAACTGCCTGTTCTTCATTCGCTTCCGGTTCCTTGCGCTTCTTTGGGACCAGCGGGAGCGTGGATTCCCCAGAAGGATCATAAACCTTCACTTCACTGGAATGTTTAAAGGAGTACAAGCAAATGGTAAATGAATGGAAACCCATTAATGCCAATTGCTGGGTGGCAAAGTGAAGTCAAAGCAGTACTGCCACAGCACCCATAAGGACCTTTAGTCTGTTTCAGTAGAGTTCTTCTATGATCTAATGGAGGTTGTGAAACAGCTTCAATGAATTTGTGGCTCTTTGTGAAAAGCCTAACGGAGCAGATATTGGATACATTACCCTAACAGTTTTACAGTAAAACAGAGGCTCTTTTCAAAACAATGTTGAATACAGAAATGCTAATTAAGAAAAGTAAACTTCACGGCTACGTATCCTCAATCTAACAGCACATTCTGGCAAAAGTTGGGAAAGCTTTTCTTTAAATATGGCGATCTCCAGTTTCACAATGGCTAGAAAAGCAACCAAGCTAGGTGATACTGAGAACTAAAAATATTTCTTTTGACAAAACATTTCAGTATCTGAGCAGAAAAATTAAGCACTCTCGGCAGAGTTATCCATGAGTAAAGTGAACATTCACATACTCACCTCTTGTGCTGGTATTTGTCTGCACGGGCCACGGCTTTCCCAGTACCACTTATTCGTCTTATCTGGATAGGAAGGGAGTCAAAACAAACAAACAAAAACAAAATTAAAAATTGATACAACCCAATGCAGTCCCTTAAAAGAATTAATAGTTAATAGATGATAGTGGAAAGAAAAAAAACTGTAATCATGGACACAAAGCTTCAATCAGCAAGGGAACCAACTGCTCTCTATTTTAACAGGTAAACAAACAGACGACTAGTTAATAAATATACTCCATATCTATTTGATTTGATGGGAATAAAGCTCCTTTGCAATTATAACAGTTTCATATTAATCAATACAGGATATCAGTTCTATATCCCAAAGGAAAGGGAGCAGCCTTCCCAGCTCCATCTCTACTCAGATGTATTTGGGCAATCAATTCCCATACCCCAAGTTATCGTGGCCATCAGTCTCCCAAAACAGGGAGACTGTGGGCAAATGAATTGTAGCTTTCCTGTTCATCCTGTAACCATCAGTTGTTTAACCACACAATCCTGAAACACTTTTGGATAGTTATTTTACTCATTTTTATTTTCAAAGGTCCATTTGCCCAAAACACTAGAGTTTTATAAACATACTCCTTTCTCCTCCAGGTGCCGTAATCTTGTTTCTACTTTCAATCTGTTCTCAACTCCCATCTCAGCACTTGTGTTCTCTCCAAGGGCATCATAACGAATGGTCAAAGCCGTTTTGGCAGCTAGCATACGTGAAATCTATAAAAAAAAAAAAAAAGTGAAACAAATCTGGTAATGTTGGATGCCCACAAACATGTCAACCTGAAGACCAGATTGCATATCATTGATGTAGGTGAGAGGACCCTAGAATATATCAATCAGCCAAGACTTGTGCAAACTGAATGCTCATGGCAGAGAATATTTAATTACGCTTGCTGGGACAAATCCATTTGTTCCGGTTCCTCATGCCAAACTGAATAGGAAGAGACAAGTTCAGACAGCCCTGCTTCTTTGTTTAAACGAGCATTCCTTGGGTATGATTTAACTGATGGATGGGGGCAGTGATTTTGTTTTATTTTTTTCACATAAACACTGGATTAATACAAGAACCATTGTATTAATGGTTCTTAGGCCATGGAACATTCAGAGCTGATGTAGAGCAAAAGCATTGTATAATATTTGAAAGTAACACTAGATTATCTGAGGAACAAAAACCTCACTGAAAACCAAACCAAATTTTAAGCATCATTCCTTATTTATTTTTTTATTTCCTGCCAATTGAAGTTGCCATATCTCAATCTGCCTGTTTCAGAAACAAAAGCAGCAAGAACAACATCTTACCTTTCCTTTATTTTTAGCTGTTGTTTGCCCTACAAGGGAAGCATGATAAATCAGACCAAACTTTGGGGTGTCACGCTTAGTCTTCAGTGCTCTAAAAAGTGCTTTCTCAGCTCCCAGAATCTGAACTGTTGATGCCGGGTGCTTCGCTAGATTCAGCAGGGAACCTGTTGCAGACAAGATGTAATAGAAGATTATATAAATGAAGTAAACTCTGAAATAGGCCCTTTACAAAACGCTAAGTTCAAGATTTGGAAATGACAAGCCTCATACCTATTACCGTCCAAACTGACTAAATATTTCTAGGAAATAGGAACAAAAGGCCTCATTGGGATGGGCATCATTGCACAATTTCTGTGAACTGTAGGGAAAATCCTGAACCTAAGTTTGCCTGACCTATTTACATGATTTGAAAATAACTTAAAGGCAGCATAAATCTGGTATTTGGGAGTGAATGAATGAGAAAAGCAGAGAATGGCTCAAGAAGTGTCTCAGAAGAGGTAGTGACTAAAATTGCTTTCACCTTCCAAGATGAAATCAAGCAAAATTCAAATAATATCATCATCATCATCTTCTTCTTGACCTGACAATGAAACTCTGCATTATGGTTTCTTGTTTACTTTATCTCTAAGATGATTATAGTAAAGGATGCTGCACACAGCCAATACACAAACTCAGAATTGCAACATACCAGCATGGGCAATAAGCCTTGCTCCTACTAGTTCTCCCACCATAACAGTGAGGTTAGGTGCAATGGCCATCATTCTGTTTTTCAGATAGTCATATAGCGTTGCTCGATACTCCGAGATCTCAATCACCTGAAAGGAAAAATAACAGAAGGTTCAAGCTATGGAATATTGCCAAAGAAAACTGGGAATGAAGTGAAACAGATATTAAGGAATCATGAGTATGATGATCTATTATTATGCAATCAGTCAGAAGTTTAAACTGGATTTGGAATTTTTATCCATCAACTGAGACCTACCCAAGGACCTGGGATGGGAGAAGTTGTTGTTCAAGATATTGCTCCAGGATGCAAACTGTTCCAAGTAAAACTACTTTTTGCAATTGACTGGTGGTGATTTTTATTGTTACTACAAGGAATAATGATTTAAAGTATGAATACTTTAACCAAAAAAAAAAAAAAAATCTAATCCAGCATAAAAAATAAAACAGCAGTATTTCTGGACAATATGTAATTATTGTGATATTTTTGGCCCATTAGCACTAAGTAGCATTGGCCTCCTGGCACTATAATGACCTAACTATTCTGCTACCTTAGCGTATATGCTAGAAAACCGTCTGCGGATTTTAGAACAAGCAGGTATATACATTCAGCCAAGCTGTTGTCCTGAATATGTTCCAATTATGATAACCAGTTACTTGTGATGGCATCAGAAGAGGTAGTGACTATGCAACCCTCATAGGTTGTACATCAGGAAAGCATCATTAAAGGAATCATCACTTGCCATCAAAAACTAATATAAATTGCAAATTTGGTTGTGTTCTAAAATATTACCCTAACACAATCAATTGCCAAACAGATTAAAAACCAACCACAAGATTTGGGGGCAATCATATCTTGATTTCATAAATTTGTTTGCATATAGATAGTCCTTGACATATGAGCACAACTGAACCTAAATTTTGGTTGTAAGTTGTTGAAGTCATTAAGTGGGTCACCATGTTAAATGAATCATGTGGTCATTAAGAAAATCCAGCATATCCAATGAGTGTTTTTTTTACCATTTTCTGCTGGAAAATAGCAAAAAGTATGCATATCTCAGTCATGTGACCACAGGATACAACAACTGATGAGCTAGTTGCCAAGTGCCAGCACTTACAGCCAGGACTTTTTTTTCTCATAGAATGCCCAGAACGGAGTTCCGGCACCTTTTTTGGATGGAACCTTATAGGGTAGGCAAGGTGGGTTATATGATGTGTGAGAGTTCCGGCACCTTTTTTTTTTAAAGAAAAAAAGCACTGCTTACAGCACTCTCTGGGCAGTTTACCATGTCAGCATACAGTATTGCCTCCAACAATCTAGGTTCTGCTTTTACTGACCTAGGAAGGATGGAAGGCTGAGTCAACCTTGAGCCTGTCAGGATCAAATTTCAGAGTGTGGGCAGTTTGCTTGCTGCAAATCTAACCACTGGGACTCCTGTCCTTCACTATCATTAACAAAGCTAGTAATCACCATTTCTAAATAAACTGTGGTTAAATAGATGTTTTCTGAATTAATTAGAACATGTGTTAAATGGTCTACACTACAGACTGGTAACTTTTTTTAACCAGCCACTGCTGCTACTGTTCATTTGCCATTACACCATCACCTGATCACAAAGATGCTGTATATTGCTTATATCTTCTTCTGACACTTCAGTCCCCATGGAGATCTCTGCAGCTGCTTTCACTTCTTCTTCCACCTCCTCCGGCAGGATCTCAGACAGATCAGAAGAGGAAACGTTTATTCTGTCTCCTGGGGAGTAAAAATATAAAATAGCAATAAGGACAAACAGCAAACAGAAATTAAGCTGTTAATTAAGCTATAGGTTTGGTGGTACCAAGAGAAGCATGAAAAGGAAATGGAGGAGCAGATGGATGATTTTCAAGTGTTTATGTCTAACAAGGAATTTCTACTTAATAGTTTAGATAAGAATCTATACAGGTAAGAACTTTTCAATAACTAGTCTTGTTTTTTTCATTTCATCCTGCATACAACTGAATTGGAAAATAGAGTAACAGTCTTTATATTTAGAATTTTTCATTGCTTAATTGCTGAAAAAGTCGGCAGAATACAGAAAAAAGTTTTGTTTGTGTAAGAATTGTGTTTATGTAAATAAGAAGAGAAAGTTAGCAATAAACGCATATTCTATAGCAGTTACTGTAGCCTGGGCCTCACAGCTAACAGGAAAACTTGAATAATTTCAGAAATACTGAATAGGTCAGACTGTTCACCATTTGAAGGAGATTAAGCATTACTTACCAATTTTTTGTACGCATTTACAGTATGCTAGATTATCTGTGATAATTTTGCCCAGTTCAGGAAAATGCCACCCATACCATTCTCTACAACGCATAATGTAGTTATTCAATTCTTTGTCCAAGTCATCAAGAAGAGCTGGAAAAGGCAAAATACAGGTTTTAGTTTAGTTCAGTTATACGTTGGAAATACACATTTTTGAAAATAGTATCAGAAAGATTCATATAATGCTTCAATATCTACTTTTTCTTGAAGACTCCTGTGAAACATGGTAATTTAAAGTTATCAAAGGATTTCTGACATATTTACAAAAATATACACCTAGATAGAAAAGGACACCTTTGCTAACATCGTAAGGTGGCCCTAACCTGTGAAGATGGGGAAAAGCTACATTCATATTTTTATCCCTCAATTCAATATCTATAATGGTATGTTGTAATTTCTATATTCCCTAAAAGTAAAGGCTAATTCTGTTTTCCTTCTAAAATGACAATACACATGGCCAGATTTAAAGTTATCTCTTCAAGATGTATCATGCTACAAATTAACCTTTTATGTATTATCTTAGAAGGCCACAATGCTCTGGTTTCAAATACATGTCCATCATCCATGCTGTTCATTAATTATTGTCTATATAGCTTTAGAAGTTATTTTTAGCTTATTAGCTTCTTCAGAATCTCCACCTAATTAAAATCAAAGTATGAATTAATATCTGTATAGAGTTTAACCAATGTAAAGAGCTTCCAAGAATGCTGAAATGTTTTAGAAGTTATGTAGTCTTGTGCTGGAGTGACTTACAATCAAAAAGGTTTTTCTAGCTATGCAGTGTGTCTTATCTCATGTAAACGGCTGCGTTGAGCATAAAGAATCTCTCTCATAATCTAAGAAAAAGCTCTGAAAAAGCTTAATTTGCTTTTCTGAAAAAGATTTAATTGTAACTATGATAAAATGAAGAAACAGGAATTATTTTAAAAGGAATATTAACTGCCAAAAATCTCCCCCAGACCAATCCTATAGTCTAGTAGTATCATCGTATCCTATCTAAGAGGTACTAATAGAATGTAAATTTCCACAAATATTTCTATGCTTCAAAAGAATGATCATATAAATAACCTTTTGTTGATTAACTTTTCAGACTGTTTCAAAACGTGTTTATTGCATAAGCTTAGGCAGATTATTTAAACAGAAATCACATCAAGAATAAAGTTTTTAAAAAAAGGAAAGTAGAAGATAAACTGCTAATAAAACAAAATAAGTCTTGGAGGTTACAGTATTGCTAGTATCTATTTTAAGTTATTTTATCTATTGTTTTTGATCGGTTTCTTAATTCTTCTCCTAAAAACTGTTATTTCAAATATTTGCTCTATAAAGTATTGTAAGGGAATCATTCTTACAGAATTTATTTAGTCTTTTATTATGAATATCTACAGATAGTCCTTGACTCATGATTGGTCACTTAGTGATCATCTGAAGTTACAACAGACCACCCACCCCCAAATGCTACTTACAACATAGTTCAAAGTTAGGGATGCTGCGATGCCCCTTCCCACCTATCATTTTTGCAGGGAGAGCTGATGTGATGCTCAGCTTTTCTACAGACACTGCTTGCCCCATGGCAACCTTGTGTTATTCTAAAAGCAGGTAATGTTGTTGCAAGCCAGTTTTTAAAGAAGGCTCCACAAATAGATCCCCTTACAGACTTTCAACAACAGTATCAGGTTGCAGAATAGCACGAGTTGCCATAAGGCAGGCAGAGTTTGTAGGAAAGCTGAGCCTCTCATTGGTCATGTGGATCTTTGCAAAAAACAGAAAGGTAAGTTGGGTGGTGCAAGGCTTCGAGGCTTACGGAGGATCAGGCTGAATTCTGCAAAGCCCTGGGGCTGAGGCCTGCAAGCGGTTAACAGTCCCTGTAGCTTCTGCGTTAGTGCCAGTAGCTTCTGCTGCCTGGCTTTAGGCTCTCCTGAATGGCTGAGTGGCTTAGCCCCCTCACAGGGTGGCTTCTGCTACTCAGGTTTAGGCTCCCCTTAGCTGGCAAAGTGGCTAGGTAGGAAGCAGTTCTCAGCCGGAGGAACAGGGATCAGATCACAGGGTGCCTCAGAGAGTGGGTCTGGACTTGTGCTAGGCATTCCCCACTGCTAAGGCGCACCATGCTCCACTTAATTACCTCACATTCATTTAACAGCTTCATCAGGGTGGTGGTGATCATTAAGGCAGGCCATCTCACTTAACAGCCATCACTACTTGCAGCCATAATGGTCAGGCTCCATTATAGTTGTAAGTCGCCAGGTAGTCCTCGACTTATAACTGTAATCAAGCCCAAAAGTTTGATTATTAAGCAAGAGGTTTGCCTCATTTTACGACCTTGCCTTAGTTAAGGGAATCACTGCAGCTCTTAAGTTAGTAATATGGTTGTTAAGGGAATCTGGCTTCCTTGTTGATTTTGCTTGTCAGAATGTTGCAAAAGGTGATCACATGACCCTAGGGCACTACAACACTCACAAATACATGCCAGTTGCTAAGTGGCCAAATTTCGATCACATGACCATGGGAATGTTGTAATGGCCGTGTGAAAAATGGTCATAGGTCACTTTTTTCAGTGCTGTTATAACTTTGAACGGTCACCAAACAAATGGTTATAAATTGAGGACTACCTGTATTATCAGTTTCACCATCACAGCAAATTTTCCAATCTTATCTCATTGGCAGTTTCATTTCATTTTCAAAATTTGTTCTCTGTATCTTAGTAGATTGCGATTTTTATTGTTCTCATTTCAAATTTATTTTCCATTTCAAATTTACCAGAATTACTTCCACTAAAAATATCTGTTTATGTTTATTTTTCTGAATCTTTTTATGTATTTCCTTCTTTTGAACTTTTTTTGCATGATCACATCTGCAAAAATGTTATTTTTTTGTAGCATTTCCCACATTTGTTGTTATGGCATCATATACTATCTATAAAACATTTTGTACCAATTTCCCCTCAAATTATAGCTTGCAGTAAATTTGATTTTTTTTCATAGTTCTATTGTTTTACTATGATTACACCTTTGAAGTTTTCCATCTACTTTCTCAAGCAATTTTATTTGTTCCCTCTGCATATATTTCAATGCCCATCTATATATGCTAATAGATGATCTTGGTTTTTTATAAGTTTTTCAAATTCTGCCATCATTCTCAAGATCCCTCCTTTCTTGAGATCAAGTTTTATTCTTCTAAGTAATTTGTAATTATATCAACCATGGTAAATTCCTACTTCCATAAAGATGTTCGTGCTGTTTTTCAGTCTTTAACCGTTCATCCTGTCCTACAATGTCACTAAGCAAGTAGCATTGTGCTGTATCAGCCAAAATTGTTCATTTTATAGCTTGTTCAACTTTAGGGTAATGTCGTGCCATTATACATGGTATTATTTGATAGATTTCTTAAAAGGCTGACAATACAACTTAAGGGATTTCTAAGATGCATTACAATATTAGGTATTATCAAATATTACCAAATCATACACTTAGCCAATTCTACAAAACTATTAAGCAAGCCCCACAAATCTGAACTGAGGGCCTCATCATCAACCTGGTTCCCCTCACATCTCAAGAGCTCTATCATCCTGATGTTGGTACTTGACCACTGAAACCTCTACCACATCATAAGTCAGATATAGCAGGATTGGCAGGATTAACCAGAACAAAATCCAAATTCACCAGTGTCAAGCTAGAGAGTTCCATACTGATTCCAAACTTGCAGACCCTGATACTATAAGTCAAAAACATTCATATTATTTCACTTAAAATTGTACTTACATATTGCTTGGATAATCATTGTATCAACTTTGTCTGGGCTGAACTTCAATTTATATCTTGAGAGGCTAAAAATAAAACATACAAAAGAAATAATTTTGTATACTAACTGGGGACAACACTAATGAAAAATGTATTAATATTTTTATTGAAAAATATTAATTCATTATTAGCATTCCCTGTATTGGAAGCATATATTTGTTAAAAGCATACCACATAGCTATAGGCCAGTCTATGTTTTATCCTGAGATGATGGTTCTAATCCCAGCACATATCAAAAGCCAGAAAACCTGTATAGATTATAGCTATCTCATAGGCATATTCAATGCACCTTTTTTCCTAATAAATTATAGGGACTTTCTCAGTATAAATAAGAGACTAGGCCTTTCTGAAATTTGATAACATGTAGCATTCATGATGGTTCTATAGATCTGCAAAGCTCTAAGTATTTACTAAGTATATACTAAGATTTTACAAATTCTTAGTATAAGAGTCAAGAACTATACACTATTAGTGAAAGAGAATATTAGCCCGGAACATGGGGAGATATTTGAACCCAGGCACTCATATCCATCTTTAAAAACTGTTGATGGGATTGCTTTTATTTTATGCGCTTACTAGTTTGCAGAAAAACGTTAAGTTTAGATCATAACGAAGCTTAACATTTGCCACAAATTTTTTTGCTTCATCAAAAAGGAAGTCTTTCACTCACTACACTGCAGAAACTGATTCTCAAAGAACTTTTGACGTTCATTATTCTCTATACAGTTACCTGTAATTCAATTTCCAAGTTACTGGGTTTGGAGGCATACTCATGTATAGAAGTGAAACTTATATTCTACTTCATATATGATAAGCCAATAGGTAAGACAGAAAGCTTTCCTTAATGTGACACCCTCCAAATGTGCCAAACGCTTCCATCATTTCCAGTCTGTGTTTAATTACTTAGGATTTCATTTTGTTTGACATTCAAGGAATCCATGGCAATTAAAAATACAACTTACAAAATATAAAAATAAAATTGAAATCAAGGCAAAATTCTAAAATCAATACCACTGAAGTCAAAATTCAATTAACAAAAGAAATTTTCCTCAGTGTCACGAATAATGGGATGTCAAACATGCCTCCTTGTGTCTAAATTCCATAACAGGGGACTATGCAGGAGAAAGTCTTCTTCTGTATAACAAATAGACAAGTTTCTGGCAATAAGGGGGCCAGAAGGGCCTTCCCTGCTGATCAAAGTTCAGAACAGAAAGATACTCAGATGGACCTCAGGTTAATTAATTCTTTAAAGACTGACACCAGCAGCTCAAACTGTTCCAAGTGGGCAACTGGGAACCAATGCAGAACTTTCAGTTCAAGAGTCATATGAATCCTGGACCTTGCACAGGTAGCAACCTACCTGCCAACTACAATTTTGAATACTTTTCAAGGGCAGCTTAACATAAAGCATGCTTATGAAGGACTGCTGCTAGTGCATCAGATGTAGCTGTGCAAAAGTGCTCATCACCAGTTTACCATCTATAAATTCTGTTGCAGCTGGGATCCTTGAAGCACTCCAAGGGCACTGACCGCTCTTTTTAGAGGAGAGCAAGCCCATCTGAAACAAGATTCACCTTGATCCAGGTGGTTCAAATCAGCTTTCTCCTTTCCAAGATCACAACTATCTGATTGGATTTAATCTTACCTTGTTCTCCCTCATCCAGCCTGCCATATTTAAGTACGTTAACTGCTTCCTTGGAATATGATGGTATCAAATACAATCAAGAAATCTAAAAGAACTACCATAATTGTAATTTCCTATTTAGTTTTTAGTATAGGTTATTCACCAATGAAACCAAAGCAAGGCCAGCAGAGTATCTCAAGCAAAATGCTGTCTGAAATGGGTCTAGAACAGGGGTGTCAAACTGCCGGCCCACAGGCGGTTACATCATGCATCCAAGAGCCGAGGTGGCGCAGCAGTTAGAGTGCAGTACTGCAGGCCACTTTAGCTGACTGTGTTCAGCAGGTCAGTGGTTCAAATCTCACCGGCTCAAGGTTGACTCAGCCTTCCATCCTTCCGGGGTAGGTAAAATGAGGACCCAGATTGTTGGGGGCAATGTAAATATAAATATATATATATATATATATATATATATATATATATATATATATATATATACACACATACACACACACACACACACACACACACACACACATTGCTTACTGGTGTACACCGCTTAGAGAGTGCTTGCACTTAAAGCGGCATATAAGTCTCATAAATAAATAAATAAATAAATAAATGCAGAGGCCATGCCCACCCCAGCTCCAGCAATGCAAACCAAAAAGGTCATGATATGTCGCAACACGTCACGTGACATGACGAGTTTGACACCTGTGGTCTAGAATAATCAGTTTCACTAAAACACATCTGGAGCTATGAGGCTACCAACTTCTTAGTCACCTCAGCTAGATTGCAGAGTGTTGTATAATTGCAAAAATCTTTCAGGTTCAGGGAGGTGACATTTTTAATTGTAGTCATACAATTGTCTCCTTTTAGAAAATGGGAAGACATTCCTCGCTCCAGAACACATGAACTGTCTCTCATATCCATGAGGCTATCTTAATTAGTCAGGCATATACAGCAAACCAGTAGATGGCAACTTTCATCTCTGCATATATTAGTTCACAATCCTTGGGGTATACTTGCTGAAAAGAATCCATATCAACATGGATACTTTCATCTGGAATCCAAATGAAGATGAATCCAATTAATTACAATTATTGTCTGTTGAGGATGATTTAGAGATTTAATACACCACAGAGACAGCGTCTGAGTTTCAAAAAGCTGATATAGTCATCAAGGATGGGGAAACAATACCTGTGTGCCAATCCTAAACACATAGCTGCCATCTCCCGGGATGGAAGGCCACTGATAAGTCCTTCTATTTGAGTGCGAATGCCCCTCATCAGCTCAGTAACCATTGGACTATGGATGCAACTTAAATTTAGTTTCTCCTGCAGAAATTCAAATTGTATCATTTTGATCAAAATGCACACACTATGGTCAAATGCTGCAAAAATATTTACTGTTCAGTATATAATAAATATTAGTTTGCCTAAGACTAATGCACTACACTCCATACTTCTTCCCAGAGTAGACCATTTTTGCCTTCCAATCTAACTAGCCTTTAAGGCCAATGACAAAGGAATGATAACTGGCAATCCAGGTTGGTCTCCACTGTTTATGTGTTTGCAGCTGCATATATACATGCGTATGACATAAGAATCTACAAACTTCCAGAAAAAATGGCACCATCAGTTCAACCAAGCACAAATCAGACAGACTGATATAAATTTTCATTTTCCCTTTTGTACAAAGTTTATTAAATTAGAACCCTGCAGATAAAGAATGTCATTTTTTTAAAAAAAAATTATCTCTACATAGTACTGAGTAACATGTAAACATTTTATAAACCATAACAAATAACAGGATGGCAGAGAATCATACTTAAAAATGGTAAGATTTTAAGAGCCTGTCTTTCCCATGAGATCCTGCAGAAGAGGCAGGATCAACCAATCATCAATCCAAGTATGTCCTCTGATAGGACCCAGAAAGCTAGCACTGTCGTAGTGATAATCTGCTGGTCTTGAAGATGTGACTGTGTTCTGGATTTGGGGCATCAGTCAGAACCCATGAATTGGCTATAATAATCAAAGTTTCATTGATTTCCAGATGCTGGTAGTTTTTGTTTGTTTTTTGCTATTGGTTTTTTTAAAGCTGTTATTAGCTGCCTAAAATAACTATGAATAATTGCCGGAAAAACAGCCCCCCCGACTACTGGGATTTCAAAGGCTCCTTCCTGTTCGCTGTGCAGGCCGTTGGAGAGGACAATCAATGTCTCTTTCTTCCTTTCTGTTGCTCTCTCAGTTTAATTTCCTTGCCATCGATATCCCTTTTTGTCTTATGCCGTTTTTGTGGTTTTTTTGTGCTGTTTTTAAAATGTTATGTTGGAATATTCATGAGCAGGAAGAGTCATGTGGTAACTCAGTCAGCCAATGTGAAGAAAATGCTACTGAGTCTGTGCAAAAGGGTATTGAGTTAGAAGCTGAATTTTCAGTCTCAGGTTTGTCTCTGTATCTCTCTGTAAGTATTCATTGAGCTATGTTGCTGTAAAGAAGAATGTATGGTATTGTAAATATTTTGATATAAGTACAAAGAAGTTATTTTGAATCAGCTAAATGCAGTCAACTGTGAGAGCTTCTGATTTATTTTTCACCAACAGAGAAATTAAAATTCTCTAACAGGTTATGGGCCCAGAGCTTACTAAGGACTGCATTGTAATTTAAAGCTGGAAGAAATTGCCTGTGTTTAGAAAGTATAAAAACAAGGCAGAATTAGCAGAATGGCTGCAATGGAATTTAAGGAAAACTGTGCCTCGTTCGGGCCAGAAGAATTACATTGCGTGGGCTGCTAAAATGGAATGTTTGCTCAAAGCAAAAGAGCTGTGATATATTGTAGAAAATCCACCACAAGTGTCTGCAGCTGCTGATCAGAAAAGTCATGATCGAGCAATGGCTTATCTAATCTTGAATTTAAATGATGAACAATTTCTAAATGTTGCAAATTTAAAGACTGCAAACGAGATTTGGTTGAAGTTGAGAGCTGTGCACGTGAATGTTTCTGCATGCAATATAGTGCAATTGTCAAGAAAACTTTACAGGGCCTGTTTGCAACCAGGTGAATCTGTGGAACAGCATTTAAATAAAATGCAAAATTTATTTTTGGACTTAGAACAATGTGGGATTAAATTCCCTGAGTCCCAGAAGGTTTTACTTGTGTTGAACAGTTTAGATAAAACCTGGGACAAAGTTTCTGCAATATTTGAGTGTAAAGAAGAGCAAGAATTAAATTTTGAGGCTTTAAAGGCATGTTTGCTTAATGAAGAAGAAAAGCAACATTTTAGGAACAGCCATGAGGAGGTGAAATTCATGAGGAGGGGGTCCAGATTGCAAGTCTCTGGAGAACAAGGAATTGCTACATTTGTGGAACAAACACACATCTGAAAAGGAACTGTTTGCAGAGGAACAATTTGCAGCTAAGGATATTTGTGCAAGCAAAACGGACTGATTTGCAAAAGGAACATTTTGGTGTTGCAAAAGTTTGCTATAGCAACAACAAAGGCAAGTGGCTAATAGATAGTGGGGCAAGTCAAACAATTGTTAATGACTCTGAATTATTTTGCAGGTTTGTTCCAGTAGCAAAAGAAGCTGTGGCTTTGGCAAATGGCCAGAAAGCAAAAGTCATCAGAAGAGGCGATGTAAAAATTCCATATTTGGAATCAAAGTTTACCAATGTGCTTTGTGTACCTGAGATGGAACATAATTTGTTAAGTGTCTCTAATTTAGACAAACAAGGTTCTGAGATCATTTTTGTAAATGGGAAGTGTGTCATCAAAAGGAATGGGAATATTTGTGCAGAAGGCATAAAGGAAGATAATCTATATGCATTGCAGGGACAAAAAGTTCAATGTTCCCATATATTTACGTATGTTGCAGAGCATGATTCGTGCGTTCATCTTCTACATAGAAGACTTGGCCATGCAAGCTTTAAAGTTTTGCAGCAAATGCAAGAGTTTGCAGAAGGGCTAAATTTGAAGGGATGCAAAACATATTTGGACTGTGCAGTATGCAAAGCATCGAAGTCAAAAGCATTCCCAGCTAGTAAATATAGCACAAGACAAACAAAAAGAGCTCTAGAGCTGGTCCATGTAGATCTGGTGGGACCTATGCAAGCCAGTTTGGGAGGAGCAAAACATGCACTGGTAATTGTTGATGATTATAGCAGGTATTCATTTTGCTACTTGCTTAGAGGAAAGACAGAGGTGCTACAACAATTCAAACAGTAGGTAAGTTTTGTAGAGAGAAGGTACAGACAAGTGTGTCAGCTGCAAACTGAAAGAGGTACTGAATTTATGTCAACTAAATTCCAACAATGGTTGGGGCAGTTGGGGATAAGACACAGACATACAAATCCTTACACAGCAACAGAGAACGGTGTAGCTGAAAGAAGGAATGGTGTTTTGCAAACAATGAAAGATTCATTATTAAAGGATTCTGGTATGAGTAGATCTTATTGGGGAGAAGCCATATTGACTGCCAATTATATAGTTAATAGGCTGTGGAGTTCCTCCATTAATAATACTCCATATGCTATTCTATATGGGAGAAAGCCATCACTGGCACATTTGAGAATTTTTGGAAGTACTGCATGGCTACATATTCCGAAGACAATCAGAAGAAAGGGACAGCAAAAGGCAAGAAAGCTCAGGTTTGTGGGCTATGAGCCAGGGTCAAAAGGATATCGCTTTAGCGATGGAAGTAAAAGAATTGTTAATTTCAAGGTCTGCTAATTTTGCAGAACAAAGTTGGGACAGAATTAATGCAAATTCTGGATATGTCTCACTTAATGACGGTGATCTATTTAACAATAACTCATCTAATGATGGAAAAATGATTACTGAAGATATCAATGTTCAGGGAGGAGAGGCTGAACAAGACATGAAGCCAGAAAGACTTGAGACACAGTTAATACCACGTAGGTCAGAATGATGTAATAAAGGAATTCCGCCTGACAGGTATTCTGCCAGCAAGGTAAAGGTTTGCAATGTGGTATGAGCCAAGAAGTTATAGAGGTGTTGGCATTACCAAAAGCTGAACAAGAAAGATGGAAGGAGGCCATGGATAAAGAGATGAAATCCACGGGAGACCATGAAGTATTTAAATCAGTGACTTTGCCACAGGGAACCAAAGCTGTGGGTTGTAAGTGGGTATATAAGAAAAAGGTATTGCCAAATAATGATATACAGTTTAAGGCCAGGTTACTGGCACTAGGTTTTTCACAATTAAAGAATGTGCACTGTGATGAAGTATTTGCGCCAACTGTGAAAAGTGAGAGTATAAGATTAGCACTGGCGTTGGCAGTGGCATATAAGCATAAAATCTGGCACTTTGATATCACAACTGCATTCCTCAATGCTGAGTTAGAGGAAGAAATTTATATGATCCAAGCACCAGGATATGAAATTGCAAAACCTAACATGGTATGTACAGTTGTTGCAAGATTCAAATATTAATGTAAAAGAATCTGTAAAGGTATTTGAAGACAATGCTGCCTGTATAAAAATGGCAACTGGTGACAGGATGAAGAACAGAAGTAAACATGTAGACATTAAGTATTGTAATGTCAGGGGAAAATTGATTAGTTTACATCATTTTCTTCTGAGGATAATTTGGCAGACCTGATGACTAAACCATCGGGTAGTGTTCACTATGGAGAATGTATTAAGTCAATAGGTCTGATGTCTCTTCCTGTCATGAAGGGAGGAGTGTTGGAATATTCATGAGCAGGAAGAGTCATGTGGTAACTCAGTCAGCCAATGTGAAGAAAGTGCTACTGAGTCTGTGCAAAAGGGTATTGAGTTAGAAGTTGAATTTTCAGTCTCAGGTTTGTCTCTGTATCTCTCTATAAGAAGTATTCATTGAGCTATGTTGCTGTAAAGAAGAATGTATGGTATTGTAAATATTTTGATATAAATATAAAGAAGTTATTTTGAATCAGCTAAATGCAGTCAACTGTGAGAGCTTCTGATTTATTTTTCACCAACAAAGAAATTAAAATTCTCTAACATGTTATAAGAATTGTAAACCAACCAGAGATCCTAGGAGTTGAGAGGCATATAAATTTAATAAATTAATTTAATTATGATGTGATGGGCACCCATATGCACTGAATAACTGAATAATGAAATTATTACAGGCCCTTAGTACATGCTGTTATCAGAACATCACTTAGCCTTTTTAATGCAGATATTAGGACTTACCTTGATTACACCTCCCAGTTTGGCATCTGCTACAGCTAGCTGTTCATGGGCATCTTTGGCTACTATTTTCTTTAAGATTTTCTTTAAATTTTTGCTGATTTTGCCTTCTACCAATGCTGTGGATGCTTGAGGAGGAAACAAAAAGATGCAAAAAATCTAGAATTTTCTAAAAGACCCAGCCAGAAAAATGAGCATGGAGTAAAATATATAGTAAGCTCTATCTACAAAATACTTCTGATAGAGAATAATGCACTAATGTTACTAGTTTAGGTAATGAAGTGTTTGCAAGAAAACAGCCAAACTCAGAGAATACCATGGATCACTCACAAAACAGTTCATTTTCTCCGTTGTCTCAGTGGTAGTGACGAAATGTTGCATGCAATCACAGTGATTCAGTTCCACTAACAATACATCATTGACAACAGAAATTGGTTTGAAGACTGCATATTCAGTTCTCAAGCCGCAATCTTTTACTAAATCTAAATACTATACAAATAATGCTGTACTGAATATATCTTATAACAATACATTTTAAAAAATGATAAAGTCACATGGAAATGCTTTGAACACAAAAAGGATAGCAAACATATAGAGCGTGCACTTTCTGTCTCAGCTGCTATCAAGCATCTTTACCCCAAACAAGATAAATACATGCACATGGGACCTCAATCAAGGTCAATGCCATTAGGCACAAAAGAAGGAAAGGCTTGCTTTTTTCAACCAAGTCCTTTGTTTTTAAGTGGAATTTACCTCCTCCTACTGGATAACGAAAAGTAAAATGTTATCTAAAGGGAGATAATCCTATAAAAGTGAAGTTGCTCCTAACATCCAACTCTGCTTGGAGGTTGGAAACGGGTAGCCATTTTATGTCTCACAGTCTGGGTTCAGATACCATGAGACACTATAGTTTAATTGGATTAATGTAACAAAAAGCCTATGGGATTACACTGTGGTGGTACATCAGTGTTTCTCAACCTTGACAATTTTAAGGCATGTGGACTTCAACTCCCAGAATTCCACAGCCAGCATTGCTAGCTGTGGAATTCTGGGAGTTGAAGTCCACATGCCTTAAAACTGTCAAGGTTGAGAAACACTGTGGTACATCGTCTGAACTACACTCTTGGCCAAGATTCAGTTTTTGATTAAACCAAAACATAATGACATTACAAATATGCTGTAGTAGCACCAACCAGTTTATTCTCCCAGGGAGCAACCTTATCCCTTCAAATGTGCACTGGGTTTGCTGCAGATAATGGAAATTATACTCCAAAACATCTGGAGGAAAACAAGTTGGAGAAGCATCACCTTTAAAAGGTGAGAATGCTTTTAATTATATGAAAATGGATTTTCTACCCTTGCATACGTTATATTTACTGATGTGTATACTAGCAAATGTGAAAATAGTTGAAGTGCACATGTACCTTTTAGAACATTATTTACAAAATTGGACATTTCCAAGGACGTAAGTAAAGCTATACAAAGCTTGCAAACAGAGTCATTATATAAACTTTGCAAGAAAGGAAGAAAGGAAAGAAGGTAGGGTGGCAAAATTACTGAATATGGCATAGGTTAGATGCTATTTCCAAGTCCAACTTAAAGCAGTAAATTTAGATTATAAAAACTTTATCCTCCTCACACCTAATCATTGATCACACTCATTGGAGCTGATAAGAACTGGAATTCAACACCCCAGATAGCCAGCACTTCTCCTCCTAACTGAAGGACCATTAAATCACTGTTTCTTCTATGATAACTTTTGCATCCCTGAAAATTACACTCAATGTCTGGAATCTATTTTAAGATAACACTATCCTTAAAAGTGACCAATAACCTTAACTGTAAAAGCATTACCTGCAAGAGCTTCTGTTGTGTCTTGAAACTTCTCGAAATGTTTCAGTTTTACACTAAATAAAAAAAAATCAATGTTTTTGCAACAATCATTAGGACCTGAGGAATTGCTACCAATTATAAACATTTTTCAGGAAATTCAAAAAGTGATATGCATGTAATCTCTGGCTTTTAAAAAAACAAAAAACAAAAACACCAGTCCATTAGGTCAATGTTTCCTATACAAAGAGAAAAGTATACTTTAAAAGATTTTGATTCAGGTGTTAACTAACTTTTAGGCAAGTCATCCACCCATCTAATAATGACATGAAGTCTTCATTTACTAACTGCCTTGGAAAATAACCATTAGCAGTTTGGACAGTGAGGAAAAAATAACAGTGACCAACGGGCACATTTACAAACTCTGATTCACCTCTTCTGCAGTCACATAGCCAGTTAGTATGCATTGTCCAGTATAAAATGTAAGCAGCTGAAGTCACATGATTTTTCACTTAGTGACCATTTGCTTAACAATAGAATTTTTGGTCCCAATTGTGGTTGCTATAAGATTACCTGTATAGCCTACTTTATAGGATAATATGTAACAATTACAAACATAATGGACACAAAATATAAAAACATTTATATACATATATTGTATATAAACATGAATTATATAAAATTATCTATAAGTTAGGCGCAACTAGTTCATTAATCAAGTCTATTACTTCCTACTTATTCCTAACTAATCTGTATCATACAAATCCTGCTTTACTTCAGCAAGCCTTTTTGTGCAGTTCTTCTGATATCTAAGCTTAGTGGTCATTCAGATTTTTGCAACTCAGATCTGATAGTCCTAATTACCATAGTGCTGCAGAATTAAACATAGCATAAACCTAAGTCTTAGAATGAAATTGCTTTACCACTCATTCAAAAAACTCTAAGCGGCTAACAATGTCAATCTAGTTGTCAGATTTTTTTTTATTCAGTTGCAATTTAACAGTTTACAAATGCAATAAAACAAAAATAGAGAAATACAAAAAGAAAAAACACAAAACATACAATGCCAAACTGTAAGGCATCATAATGCAAATTCCCATCAGAAAAGTTCAGTGTTTACCATCTTCTGGAAGATGACCAAGACATAATAATGACAATAGGTTTATTACTTAGTTGATTTATAGATGGTTTTTCTATCAATGAGAAAATGACTTAGTGTTTTATATCCTGTATTCAAGAATATAAAATAGTTCCAGAAACCCCATACAAAAAGATCAAGACAGACAAAAAAAAAACTAGTGGCCATGCTCTTGCAATATTAATTACTACTACTTTACTTACATTTTATTAGCTTTTTCAGGTGTTTCAAACTCTTTCCATAAGTTATCAATTTCTTGAAGCTTTTTCTCATTTAGAACCTGCGGCAAAGATAAAGACTAATGAAATATATGCAATATTTGGCAACAAAATCTGTCTTATTTGTCACTATGAAAAATTAAAAATGTGAAACTATACCCCAAACTTTGTGTAAAAAAAATGAATGCTAGGTCTAATTTATGAACTCTATATCCATGTCACTTAACTTTTCCAATTTCAATTAGAATAAAGTCCAGTGGGAAGTTATAAACCTTTTTACTAATGTTTATTTAACTGGTTTATAGATGATTATTCTATGAGTAACAAGGTAATATATTTTATATTCTGCTATTCAAAGTTACAATTTTGGAGCCAACTTTATGAACCACACTTAAAATTATAGTTTACCAGTAGAGGGATGGGACATAAACTAAATGAATACAGTAACAGAGTGCAAATACTCCTGCCTCAGACAAGGGCCTTTTTTGGAGGAGGGGGGGGAGGATGTTCCACCAAGCAGTCCATTACTGAGAAATTAAGTGTCACCAAGGATGTCTATGGAAATTAAAAAAGTATTCAGATTCAGTTTCAATACAAAATGAGCCCCTGATAAATAATATTGCAAGAGAAAGATTAGTTTATGAGCATTATTTCCCTGGATGAGGAGAGAGTTTCAAGAGATGTTTCCCACTGGAATTGAACTGGTGCCAGCAGCCAGATTATTCTTCACTAGAACACTGAGAAGACTCAACCAGCCTAGAAAATGTTAATTTATCAGTAGTGGGGGGACAGTAAACATCTAATGCTTCACATGCGTTCCAGGCATTCACATTTTCAGTGTCCAGATCCTTCTGAGTTCAGTCTAAAATACATCCAAAATAGATCCAATTTACTCCGAAGACCCATTTTCCTTGCAACTTTTCAAATTCCTTGCAACTTTTCCCAGCATGCATAAGAATCCATACAATTCACCAGAATGAATTGGCAATAGAACAGCAGGAACTGTAAGGCTAAAGAAAAAAGCACACAAAGCACTAAGCTGCATGGGAAAATTTCTGCTGCATATAATGCAGGTTTTCTTTTTTTTTTTTTACAAAAATAGTTCGTTAATCAATTCTTTTCTCTTTTTTGGGAAGCAAGCATACAAAACGTCAACATTCCTTTCCGGATTAAGAGCAACTGCCTTAAAATATATAATTCAATGTCCAGATAACCAACTGGACAAAGATACAACCAACCAGGTTTAGCGCAATTGTATGCCTCCAAGTTATAACAGCCTTTCATCACTAGGGGACGCAACTCACATCAAACCCAGAAATGCATTAACTAGGAATGTTCCAAAACTTGTCCCCCCCCCGTCTTTTAGCAATTTGTCCTCCTCCCCCCCCCCGGCAAAGGAGAAAGATGATCCGTTGCTCCACGACCATAAAGTAGACAGGACATCGCCAATCAAATTTCGGGGGCATTTTAAAATGGAGTCAAAAAGCTTGAGACGGCTGCTTATCTAAAAGTGGTCAGCATTTCTTTCAAGTTGCTAACACAGTAGGAAAAGGGAAGTTAATTCTTTCCGGAAAAATCTAACACTATAACTCCCGCCATTCAGCCGCAGCAGAGGCGAAATGGCCTTCTGCTTTCTACTCCCGCCATCAGCCACGAGCCCAGGAACACGTGCTGCCATCCTCACCTTGAAAATGGCGTATCCGGCCGCTGTCTCAAATAAAACCAGCATCGCTGCGGCGGGATAAGCCCAGCTGCTGCTCCCCGGGAAAGAGCGAGCGCGTGGCAAAAGAACGCGGGCGAGACAGAACACGCACTGCAAGGAAACGCGCCGCACGGCCGGAAGGCGCTGCTCACTTCACCCGGAAGTACTTTTGATGGCCTGCCGGAAAGCCGAACGGAGGAGGAGAGGGCGGGGAAAGAGAGCTAACCTTTCACTTTTTGAAGCAGTGGGGCTCGCTACCTGATTTCGCCCCATAAGCGTCCGTGCGACCTGAGGGGAGATCCTTGCAACTCATAGGCTTCTTTAGATTTCAGTAAAAGTTGTTGAGGAGATTTTTTTTTTGTCTGCGTTTCTGTATATTTTAAACCTGGACCTAAAGTAAATATTGTAAACTATAAATTGACCAAGATGTCTACTTCAGTATTTGCTTCTTAGCAAACAGGAACTAAGCTTTGCTATAACAGCTATAATTCATTGCAACAATAAATATATCGATCATCTTTGTGATAAAACAAAATCTTTATATGGTTTTGTCACCAAAAAGCCAATTAAGAGAACTATGCTTGGAGGCAAAAAGACATAATAAGCCTGCACCCTCGTTAATTAGTTTGGAGTAGGGTCTCTTTCTATTTAATATTGTGAAATTTAGAATATAAAAAACATGTCATAACAGCTATGTTAGACCTGGAAGTAATGAAAAATGTAATGGTTTTACATCATAAGCTTTTTGCATCATTCTTGCAAAGATGTTAGATAATCTTTAGCCAAAAAAACCTGACCGAGACCACTTTGGTATAGAGCACAGGTCGGCAACCTGCGGCTCTGGAGCCGCATGCGGCTCTTTGAGCCTTCCCCTGTGGCTCCCAGCCTCCTCTGCCTTTGCAGAGAGAGACAGAGACAGAGAGAGGCAATTGCACTTCCCTGCTTCTCTCTCTCTGTGTGTGTGTGTGTGTGTGTCTGTGTGTGTGTGTGTTTTGTGTGTGTGTAAAAGAGTGCACTCACAGTGTTCTCCGAGCAGCTGAAAAGCTTTCTGGGCAGAGCTCCTCCCTTTGCTGCGTCTCTGAAGGAAGCAGGAAGCAGGAAGGGCAGGAGAGAGCTAGCTAGCCCAGCTAGGCTGACTCAGGAATTCTGGGAGTTGAAGTCCATTAGTCATAAAAGAGACGAGGTTGCCTACCCCGGAGGTTGTTGGACAACAGCTTGAAGCTTGCCAGGTGAGCAGCAGATAGGAGGGGGGGGGAAGAGAGAGAGAGAAAGAGAGAGAGGGGGAGAGAGAGAGAGTGGGGAAAGAGGAGTGGCAGACCAAGGGCAGATAGAGAGGGAGGGAGAGAGAGACCCTTTTGACATCTAAAATTAAGATAACACTGCATATATCCTTTTTTTACCTATGTGTGTATGTAATTTTATTCTCTTAAAGCATTCTCTTGGTGATCATTGTTTTAATAGTATGGATATTCCCAAGAGTCATATTTTTACTTTTATTTTTAATGTGTATATGTGTGTGTGTGTCTGTGTGTGTGTGTGTGTGTGTGTGTGTATACACACATATACACATACACACACACACACATACACATACACACACCTATAATAAAGGTAAAAAAGGATATATGCAGTGTTATCTTCATTTTAGATATCAAAAGGGTTTTGCGGCTCCCAGTGTTCTGTTTTTGGTGGGAAACGGGTCCAAGTGGCTCTTTGAGTGTTTTGGGTTGCCTACCCCTGGTATAGAGATATGAAAAATGTCAGACATATTGATACTGATAATATAAAAAATAATGTATTTTTGTTGCTTTTTAAATTAACAAAAAAAATACAAAAATACATTATCAAAAATATATATAACAAATCCTTAAAAATAAGTGAAAAAATACAACAGAAAAAATAATAGAGTATAACATTTTACTTTCAAAGTTACAATTCTATTTATATATTGTTTTATAGCTCCCTTTATTACTTTATAAATAACTCAAAGTGGCTAACATATGTAATATTCCTTCCTTGTCCTGTTTTTCTCATAACCCTGTGAGGTGAGTTGGCTGAGAAAGTGATTAGCCCAAAGTCACCTAGCATGCTTTTGTTTTCTGGCCTGACCCATTAGATCTGTAGACGGTATTTTTTTAATCAGTTGATCTCGGCATTTTTTCCCCTTTGGTGCAGAACTGCAAATTGCGAGAATTCACAGGGAGATTTGCCCCACATTTCTTTTCTGCAGTTCCTGCTGTTCAGTTCCCCAGATTAGCCTGATGTGTTAAAATTAGGATTTTATAAAGTCCAACTATATAATGTTCAAATAGCAAGCTTTCATGTTTCAGGTGTTGTATAAATTGATGGAAGGGGAGAGGAATGGGAGGAGGAGAAAGTATGGCATGCCATTAAAGTTCGAAATCTGCAGTTCTTGACATCTAGAATATGGTTCAGTAGGCCAGCCAATCATGTTTTTTCATAACTTGAGTGGCCACATACCCTTCATTGTAATTTTCTGCTTGGAAGTCCAGTGTCAAATACCAAGAGAAAAGGGGACTCCTTGTTGCTTAGCAGCACCAATCAAGTACCAAATCAGAAGGCGTGCAAGCTGTGGTAACTTTAGCTGCATGAGACAGTGTTGCTATAATTTTTCCGAATTTGCATATTAATATATGCAAATACCAGATGCAATTCGTGTCTTTTTTGCAACTCATGTTTTGTCAATGAACACTTATCTTCTGCCGTCCAACCATGTGGATTGCATCAACCCTCTTTTGTGACTTGGTTATGGTTGAAATGTAGGCAGACGGTTCCTCATCGAAGTCTGCATAACCGCCACCCCTCTCTACCTGGGCACAAAATGGAGGGAGAAGTAAATTAGCGGCTTGTCATTTCCAGCGAAGTTGGAAAATGCGCCGCTTTCCACGTCTTCCAACCTCGCTACTACAGTATTAGGAAGGACAGCATGCAACCTCGGAGGAAACAGATGAGCGATGCAAAGGTGGAAAGTCTGCAAGACGTAACCACCCTCCTCCGCTCCTAGTGGGCCGTGCGCAAAGCCGGAGCAGTTGCGACTGTCGTGAACGCTGCAAGAGCGGGCTGCGAGCGGCTCTAAAACTCGCGCAAAACTGTTCCCGGAGTCTCTCGGCGGGGGCGGAGCAGAGTTGCACTGCGCTTCTTCGGTGGGCTGTGCCTGGAGAGCGGGAAGTGAGCTCAGGCGCAGAGGAAATCCCGCCTGCCCGCGCCCGGCCTGTGTGTTGTGCTCTCCGTGTTGGCGACACCGAGGGCGAGATCGGCGAGGCGCTTCTCCGGGGGTGGCGGAGGGGCCGGCTGCGTCTGCGAGGGAGACATGTCGGATCAGGTGGGAGGCTCGCGCTGGGCAGGAAGAAGCTCGCAGTCTGCCGCTCCCAACCGCCCGGCTGAAAGGCGCCCGGGCTGTCCGCAGGCGGCCAGATGGGGCCACAACAAGCCGGGACCCCTCGGCCGGAGGGGCTTACAGGCACGGGGGCCCTGGCCCCCGGCCAACTTGGGCCGGCTTAGAGCCCGGCCTCCTGCCTCTCCGCGTCCGTTTCATGCCCTGGGTTTAGCCCTCCTAAGCTACTTCTGGGCCACGAAATAGAATCACCCGGATCTCCCGAAATGCCCCCGTGGTGGAGCGGGGGGGGGACACAGATCGGAGTTGGCACCTATGGAGGAAGCCCAAAGGGAGAAATAACGAAAGGCCAAAGTTTCTGTTTGGGCTCCTTTTTGTAGGTCTGCTCTCTCCCCCCTCCGCGATCCCGCTTCTTGTTCGATGCGGCTTTCATTCCAGCCTGACTTTCAGAAAACGGTGCGAAATTTCTTGTTTAGAAATGACCACGATTATTGTAAATGAATCATTGTTTTGAGATGCTGCTTGCACCGGGAACATAGATTCGTTCACACGACCTGACATTTCCTGTTTGGTTTGCCTTGAAGCATGTTTTGGCAGGATAGCCTTTAAAAAAAAAAATACATAAGCTTTGACATTATTAGAACAAAAATCACACAAGAATAAAGATAGCCTTTTTGTTGCATTTTTATGGCCTACAGAAGAGAAATCCATGCAGTGGCCAATTGGAACAAAAATAGAAGTGCTCTTTTTAGCCATTTATTCAAACTGAATTTGTTCTGGAAATTAAATGTAATGGCCCAGTTTTATCATCATATTGTCTTAATCATGACATTAACTTCAGCGTTGAGAGCCTTTGCTTCATGGGTGAGCAGGAATTTACAAAAGGTTGCTTTCATTTTCACTTGTAATTAATTCAGATCGTGGATTATTTTCAGAATAACATACTGACAAGGTCAATTTGGTAATCCGTGTTTTAAAATTGACTTGTTTCAGGAAGTAGTAATTGGGAAGTGTTAAATATAGTAGTGCAAACTTCGTCTCTTTGCAACCATCTGGAAAAATAGGGATTCAGTATGGGCACAGGACTCAATTCATATAATGCTATCATGTTATGTTAATAATATAATAGTAGTAAAGTTGGAAGGGACCTTGGAGGTCATCTAGTCCAACCCCCTGCTCAGGCAGGAAACTCTACACCATTTCGGACAAATGGCTGTCCAGTCTCTTCTTAAAAACTTCCAGTGTTGGAGCATTTACTGCTTCTGGAGGCAGGCTGTTCCACTGATTAATTGTTCTCACTGTCAGGAAGTTTCTCCTTAGTTCTAGGTTGCTTCTCTCCTTGATTAGTTTCCACCCGTTGCTTCTTGTCCTGCCTTCAGGTGCTTTGGAAAATAGCTTAATTCCCTCTTCTTTATGGCAGCCCCTGAGATATTGGAATACTGCTATCATGTCCCTCCTTGTCCTTCTCTTCGTTAAACTAGACATACCCAATTCTAGCAACCGTTCCTTATATGTTTTAGCCTCCAGTCCCCTAATCATCTTTGTTTTGTGAGTAGTTGACTATTTTATGAATTTGCATTAGAGGGTCCCTATTTTTTAAAGTGGGGAAGAAATTGGGCTGTTAATTTTTTCTTAAAAGATTTTTTTTCTAAATATTTCAGCCAGTGATATTATTTCCCCAGTGTCATGTCAGTTTGGCTTCAGTAATCCTGCACTTCAGATTTTCTTCAGTATCTAATTGTAAACGACCAAAAGGAAATAACTTATCTGGTCATATGTATGTGATGCTGTTTGTTTTTATTATTTTTTTCTGGTTCACATAACTTTGTTAATTTAGATTCAGACTCGGAGAGAAAGGCCCCAGATATTGTCCTCACATTTTTTCTAGTTGGAGAACTAGATAGAGCCCTATGCAAAATGTGGGAGGGAAAGGGCTTCAGAGCACTGTAATACTGGAGAACCTCTGAAGTCAGTTAAGACTTAGAACCATGATTTCATTGAAGTATTTTGTGGAATTTCTTCTGCAGTTAGAAGTTACAAGTTTCAGAATATATACTAAATAGGAATGAAACTGAAGCAGTAAGACCACCATTAAAAGCAATGTAAATCAATAGTAGCTTGTTCTGGTATTTTCTCAACTATATACCGGTAGAATTGAAACTTAGAGGTCTAACTCTCTACTTCAGAAAACCATAAGGGGATTTACATTTAATTAGGCATGACCAATAGATAGTTTTCCCAGTGAATAAGTAAACTGTGTATTTACTATATTTTTAGATAGTTGAGCATTCTGTCTGCACATAGATTGTGAGTAACAGAAGCCTCTTCACTACTCATTGCAAAATAAGTTGTAATTTAACTATGTTCTATTTAATGAGGAAAGGCTGAACTTGTTTATTGCTCGCTATATTTTATCTTGTGATTTGAGTTAAAAGAGCAGGTACAAGTAGTCCTTCATTTACAACCACAATTGAGTCCAAAATTTTGGTTGCTAAGCAAGGCAGTTAAACAAGTTGTGCCTTGTTTTATTACCTTCCTTACCATACTTGTTAAGCAAATCACTCCAGTTGTTAAATGAATCATGCGGTCATTAAGCGAATCTGACTTCCCCTATTGACTTTGCTTATGGAAGCTAGCTGGAAAGGTTACAAATGGTGATCACATGACCTTGGCTCAGTGCAACTGTCATAGATACATGCCAGTTGCCAAACACCTGAATTCTGATCACGTGACCACGGGGATGCTGCAACTGTTGTAGGTATTGACAACTGGTCATAAGTTACTTTGACCTCAATTTAAAACAGTTCATTTAGTGACTGTTCGAAGTTACAGCGGCACTGAAAACAAGAGTCTTAATGATCTTTTTTCACACGACCGTTGCAGCAGCCCCATGGTCACGTGATCACGATTCAGATGCTTGGCAACTGGTTGACTGTCCCGAGGCCATGTGATTATCTTTGTGACCTTCTGACAAGCAAAGTCAGTAGGAAGCCAGATTCATTTAACAACTGTCTCACTTTGCAACAGAAATTTTGGGCTCAATTGTAGTTGTAAATCAAGGACTACTTGTAATCATTTCTTAGATTTTGCAGATGGACCAAGCAGCCAGACAGCTATAATTTTGCCTGTTGAGAGTATTTGATCTTCAGTGATTTTTCCTCTCAGTTTCCTAACTATATTGTCACATAGGAATTTATCACATAGGAATTAAAATTTGAATTTAAAGCCTTTTTTGAAGGTCTGAATGTATGCTTTATCAAAAAATATAATCAACCATAAAATTAAGGAAATTAGAACTCTAAAAATTGGGAATCGTTTAGTACTTTGTGGCATCCTAGTTGTAGCTTTAACAAATGCTTTATATTTTTATTAATGAAGCTAGTCACATTAAGTTTATGTTCTTCCTTTCCCTCTAATCTTGTCTGAGGAGGACAAAAGAACTAGAGGAAATTTCCCAAAAACTTACTATGAGCTAATGCTCTGTTAATATGTAAAAAAAAGAGTATAAATAAAATATTCTTATATTTTCCATTTTTGTCTCTGTTTTGTTTTTTATTGCAGGAAGCCAAACCTTCAGCAGAGGATTTGGGTGATAAAAAAGAGGGAGAATACATTAAACTTAAGGTTATTGGGCAGGTGAGTTCTAAAATATTCTGTTTAACATTTATCCTTCCTAATTTTACAGGTATAAGCATATAGTTAGAGTTATGCAGTATATCAGTTCTTTTTCTTTTTAATATTTTTCTGCAAGTGCAGGGTCTGCCTTTTTTTTGTCTGCTAAAATATGTTTTAATGTAGTGCTATATATATCTAACAGTAAATGTTTGTATTTTGTAAATGCAAATATTCTTGCATAAGAGGATTCTAGAAAAATTTCTTAACAGTCCTATCATAATCAGGAATCTGATTTTATATTAGATTTGAGCTTTGCTGATATTAAACAAGTTATAAATTCTAGAAGCAAAAGTAGATGCAGCCATTCTTCTATGCATGCATCTGAAATAGACACTGAAACATAAACTAGTTATGAATGTGTTATGAGTTTTTTGTTTTAAAGTCACAAAAATTGTTATTGTTCCTTAGAATATTCAAAACATTTTGAGCTTTGTTGCAAACTCAGAACAAAATGTTGTTGTGTCCCTCATAATTTGTTTTATTTTTAACACTGTTTTTACAGTGGAAGATTATACTTGCAAGTTTATACTTCAGTATGGATTCAGTGGTAATAAAGAATATGACAGTAAAAATCTATTACATTTACTTATCAAATCTATACTAAGTTACTTATACTTTACCTACAAAAAAGTTGAGTTTTTTAAAAATATTTTTATTAATAAGTAAGAATCAACAATTAAACCTGCTTTCTGCAACCCCTGTTGCAAAAATCCCTAGTTACTATACAGAATCTGAGTTCACCAGCAGCACAATGGATTCGCTTTAACACACAGAAAAGAATGTACAAAACATAGGAAACCTATGTGTCAGGCAGACTGTAGTTTGTCTTTTATGTCCAAAATGGTTGTTCTTGATCACTGAACACATGTTTAAAATGATTTTTCCTTAGTCCTAACTCTATTGCAAGCTAGTGGCAGTAGGGATGTAACCTCTTTTATTGGAAAATGCCTTCCCTAAATCCCAGGTGTGGAAGAGTTTAAGAAAAAAGCAAATTGTGAGATGTAAGAAAGCTTGAAACTCAAGAAGTGTGGCATGACACATTCTGTTACATCTCAAGCATAAGATCATACTTGAGGAAAAAAGTATCTGATACAAGCTCAAAACATTTTACATATCTATAATAAGTGTTATTTTAATACTAAGCAGAGTTATTATATTTTCAATTTGTAGGACAGCAGTGAAATTCACTTCAAAGTGAAAATGACAACGCATCTAAAGAAACTTAAAGAATCATACTGTCAGAGACAGGTTTGTGACTTGAACTTTTCCTTGTTCACATGATATCAAATATAAGAAGTTCAATTTTTATGTTCCTCTGCACCTGACAGAATTTATTACTGCATAATCCAAAAATTAAAAGAAATGGAAAGTAGCGAATATCTGGGTTTTTGTTCCATCAGTTTAAATTGACTAGCTCTATTTCTCTTTGTTTAGGGAGTTCCAATGAATTCACTCAGGTTCCTTTTTGAGGGTCAGAGAATTACTGATAATCATACTCCAAAAGAGGTAAGTATTCTTGGAGATCAGTTGCTAATACTGTTTGTAGTTATTTCACTATTATAGATTTTTGGCAATCCAATCCTGATTATTTAAGAGTAGAAATCGAATTTAACAAAGTGATTTTCCATTTTAAATTATATTGCTGAAATTGAACAAAGCTTGAGGAAATCTGGGGTGGACATTTGCTCTGAAGAATTGTCAACGCTTTTCAGTTATGCAATACAAAACAAATTTCTGGATATTTATTTATTATTTGTAAACGTCTATCTTTTGTACCAGACTATTAATTGATACATTTTAAGCTTCTATAAAAACTAAATTAGATCCTTGGTGTCTCCTATCTCATATAAATGTACTCAAGAGCTTGTACTACACAGCAATAGTTTGGATTATTTTATTAGGTAAATAATTCCATTTGGGGGGATTTGAGTATATACGTACAATATGTATTGCTTGCTAATTTGTCAACTTTAATGATCTAACATATTAAAAAGACTCAAACCTGTCTAGTACATGAAAGGGGAATCTTCAGAAAATGTACAGTTATAGGCAAGACAGGACAATTTAATAAAATCTTACTAGAATGGCAGTGACAAATCATTTTGTTACTATGAAAACCATGAAGGTCCCAGAAAATTGTGGCTCTTATTAAGTGCTTGTTCAAACATGTGATGATGCTGAACAAATGGTTCTTCACAACTGTTCCTCTAGCCTCTGACTGTCACAGGGTCCCCACATTTACGTGACTGATCTGGCATTTGGATTGCAATTACCTTGCCTCCTAACGTGGTCACTGTTTGAGACCTTCTTTGCAGGCTTCCTACAAGCAAAATCAGTGGGGAAACAGGCAGGTAGAAGGTCACAAATGTTGACCACGTGATAAACTCACTTAAAGACCTGTGGGGATTTGCTCAATGATGCCAGCATTTCCATCACTTAGAAAAGAATTTCTAATTACTATCATTAAGTGAGGACTTATCTGTATACATAAGAACTGATAATATTAAAACGACAAGGCACTAAAAACGTAGCTACTGTTCCTAAAGTTACCAACCTTCATCTTTCCTACATTGTCCACAAAACTCATGAGAATAACCTTTTATTTCATTCTATAACCATTTATTTATTAAATTTGCCACCTGTCTCAAGCGTATGATTCTAAATAACTAAGAATTAAAAAAAAGATTACCCAAGGTCCGCAAAATATTTATTATCTAAACATTTATTTAAAAAATTATATGTTCATCCATCTTATCCAAGCTCATAACTATACTATCATTAAACAGCACTGCATTTCACAGGTCAATAACTTCTTAGTCTCTTTTGCATGGAGAAAGTGAAACAGATCTATAGCTTATATCAACAGTTTGATAATTATTTTACTATAGAGCAGCAGACATAATAAAAAAGTTATCAATATGTATGGGACTATTATTTTAACTTAAAATTAAGGCTTAAACCATACTTTGTGATGTAAGATTTTTATTTACTTGTGAAGCTACATTTTAAATGTTTTATTGAGTAGTGATTGTGTATGGTGGCCTATTTATTTTTTAAATAAAGTTTTAGTAAACTTGATACTTGCTGAGAATCTTTTTATATAAGCACTGTTCGCTTATTTGTGAACTCTGCTGCTAGTTTCTTTTGCAGAAAATCCATGGAACTAATGTGCATGGTGAGCATCCAATATGGCTGTGTGTTTTGGAGTTTTAAAATAAAATTGTGGTTCTTATTTTACAGCTCGGAATGGAAGAAGAAGATGTGATTGAGGTTTATCAGGAACAGACAGGAGGCCATTCAACAATTTAGAATGTTTGTTTTTTTTCTCTTTCCTTTTATCCTTTTTTATTTTTAAATAATAGTTCTTTTGTAATGTGGTATATAACACTGAGTTAAAACCAACACCACATTCCTATGTTTTAAATATTATTTCCAGTTGTCTGTTTTGAATTCTTGTGCTCATTATACACTGTCATTGTGTCAGACTTTTGTGATCCTGCTGCAGTTGTACTTTCCCATTTTTCCCCATTTCCTCTTTTAGAAAAGCAACTGTCTACACATGCAGTTATATGTTGGCAAGGATCATGTATCCAAGCCTTGACTATTTGGCAGTGGGCAGAGGTTTCTAATATTCACATTGGCCTGAAATTTAGGTATGTGACTTTTATTTGTGGATTTTAAGAGAAGATACAGAAGCTTTTTGAAATCTAAACAAAAGGATTGTATCCTAATATTAAGAAGAGTTTTCTGTAGATTTCACTGTGAAGTATCCAAATACTGATGGCAAAAATGTAGTTTATGGTAATACTATCTTTGAAATGGCTTCACTGAAGATAACATGGAAATTGGGGTTTTGTCAACAGAAGATCCTAGGAAAGTTCTAATTAATGTATATCTTCTTGCAACGAGAGTTTAACGATTCTTATGTTGTACCTGTTTGTCTGGAATGTGGTTTTTCAATGGACATAGATTGTATTGGCTTCCCTTTAAATAAATAAGAGGAAACAAATTCATAAACCTCTGCATTTTCTTTCAATACAAATTTGGAAGATTATTTGAAAAACTAGTGAAGAATATTTAAAGAGGATAATTTCTTATGCTGGAGGATGTTACATAGGAAAACTTTTTGATTTAATTCACCTTTGAGAACTAGCACTTTCCCTGCTGCTTGCTCTCAGTATATAAATGGAAATCAAGAATTTATCTTTCACTGATAGTTGTATTTTATATATGCAATGTGTAGCTCCGGAACTCTGAAAATTCATGGTGAAGAATGGAAGACTAAATATAAAATAAGTGAAATTGCTATCCAAACACCTTCTTTGGTGTTTAAAAAACAGGGACATACCAATTCTTCAGTTTCAGAGAATCACAGAAAATATTGGGACTTAAATTAGGTATGAATAACCTAACCTATTGATTTCAATACAGTGTAACACTATCTTGTAATCTACATTGGATCAAAGTGCCTTGGAAAACATAGGTACTTTGCAGAGTTACATGCATACATATATTTGCACTATCAGTGTGATAAAAATTATAAACATTGAAAAAGCATTGATCTAAGATCTAACCTAACCTCATTTTTTAGAATTCAGAGTTTTTCTTTTGACTTCAGTAGGTTCAGGATTGAAGACCCGGCATTAAATCCTGTTTGTATAGACAAGTAAACTAGTTGATTATCAGATAGCTCCCATTGGCAATCTTAGAGTGTAAGTACCTCTAAAAATAAATTAATTCTCTGGAAGTAAGTTATTCGTGTTTGGAAGTTATGTGAAATAGTATTCTGAAACGAGGCCTGATCAATGAAACCTTTTTTTCCTAAGCAATTGTCTAATTCAAAATGTTCTATCTTCATATCTCTTTTAGTCAATTGCAGAACTGTCATAGAAAACCTACCAATGCTAGAAACATTCTTTAGCTCAGGTTTGCAATATTGATGGCAGGACTAGAAACGTTGCTCTACCTCGGGTTTATTTTCGTTGCCAGGGGAATAGGAAAGGTCAGAAATTAAGACTGCAATGTTCTTAAGCATACTTTAATAAACCATTTAATTGTATTTACTTTTCAGGCACTTAACTGTAAAAGTGTTAAATGGATCTTCTCCAATGCTTGTAGTTTCCATGTCCCACTTCTGATGCCTTTTTGTACGCATGCCAAACTTTTTTTAAAAATTAAAACTTGTTTTCAAAAATCAAAATCTGGGCTTAAGTGTTATCCATATCTTTAGCATTAAACATTTGAGTGAAGTCAGTGGGAAAGTTTTGTAACGGGTTCCTTGAAACCTGACTGTTTGCACCTTACATTGCTGTTACACTGGGGGTGGGGGGGGGGATCAGTTTGCAAGAGAAAAGTTTTAAATAAAACGTCTACAATAAAACCCATAGTTACTAAAGATTAAATACTTTAAGACTCTTTTTTTAAAAAATAAAAGTAATTGCATAATCAGTCTGAAAGAAAATTTGGGGGGGCAGCTGAACTTGCTTTAGGAGAACTTGTGGAGCTCAGAATTCCTTACACCTGAGCAGTACATTACACCAAACCCAATTTCTAGGATCATAAAAATTCACAGTGAAAACACAAAACCCTGCAGAAATGAAAGTAGAGTATGAATTATGCTCTTAGGTTGTCTCTTAAATAGAAATCCCAAGGCCCCTATTTCTGGAGGTCACCTTGCTATTTCAAACATGCTATTCCTCAGCAAGGTCTATTTCTATTTTGCAAAATAAAAATATACTTCATGTCTTAAATTTAATCTTGAGAATCACCACCTAATTCAAAGACTGAATTAGTCTCTTAGAATTAGCCTACTTGTAGCCTAAAGAAATAGCTAGAAAGGTAGAGAAGAAATATTTAACAAGTTTAGAGATGAAACTGCATAGGAGCCAATCAAAAGCAAGACCCGCAGATGACATTTACCACCCATTAAGCTAGCTTGACTGGTTTGCTCAGTGTTAAAGGAAACTCAGCTTGTTTGCAATAGTAGCTTAGATTATATTTACATATATCCACACACATCCCACTATGGGTTAAAAAAGTATTTAGAACATTGTCTAGAATAGTGCCTTAGGGATCAGACAAAATTCGTAGAAAAGCACTTAGTATATTTTACTTCTTAGTCTGTTGGAAAACTTGTCAGAATGCAACAGTTCGCTTTTATAACACTACACAAAAAGATATTTGGGCATGGCTAAGATTTTAATCATCTTCTGTTGTAAAAAAAGGACGCTGGAAGTAGGAATAAACCCACGGACGCGAAATTTCCTGTCTTCGATCCAGTCCAGAGGCTTCTATAAGTAGTTGATACTGAAACTGTTGCTCCTTCTCCAGGTCTGCCATTTGTCTGGAACCAGATAAATTAATATAAGAAAATCTGTAATCTTAACAAGGTTACAGGGTAATATTGAAAGTTGAAGTGGGGTGAAAAGCAAAGGCCAGTCCCTAGCTGAATAAGGAAGAGTTAGGACAAGGGACTTCTTATACAGGAACTCATCTCCTGTTGGGACACAGAGCAGAACTTCCTGACACCTTCAGTTATGGGCAAACTAAGTTTCAAACTCAAGTCTTTCTTAAAACCTGATCTCAAGCAATATGCAGCACTAATGCAATAAACACCAATTTGTAACTTGTAAAATAAGAATCACTGTATTTGTTCTGCTAAAAATCCTTGCCATAGCATTTGGGAGCAACTAAAAAGTAGGGAGAATTTCACAGGAAGCTCATCATTAACATTAAGCATTAATAATTACCAATTGGCAAAACTACATTGCTAATAAAAAGCCATTCATCCCTATCAAAACTACAGGAGCATATTTCCTGGTAAGGGGCAGAACACAATACGATGAATACTCATTGGATGTCTGGACATTTAAATGAAAGCCATAGCTTCATGGATGAGTCCTGCCTATGAAATTAGCATAAAAGTAATCTAAGATCCTTTCCACGACCCATCCATTTTTTATTTTGTCAAGACTGAGTGTTGGTCCTGGCCAAGTCAATGTGAGATGGCTGGTGAATATAATAATGTATTTGCTGGGTACAGGAAGAGGTTCTAATTTAGAAATGTGACTCGGTTCACTTAGGCTACAGGTCGGTAACCTGTGGCTCGGGAGACTCATGCGGCTCTTTGAGCCTTCCCCTGCGGCTCCCAGCCTCCTCTGCCATTTGCAGAGAGAGACAGAGAGAGGCTCTCTCTCTCTCTCTCTCTCCCTCCCTCCCTCCCTCCCTTTGCTATGACTCTGCACGAAGGGTAGGAGAGCTAGCTAGCCCAGCTATGCTGACTCAGGAATTCTGGGAGTTGAAGTCCATGAGTCATAAAAGAGCTGAGGTTGCCTACCCCTGAGCTAGCCTAATAAGAATGTGTGTCAGCTTGTTGGAGAACAGCTTGAAGCCAGCATGCCAGGTGAGCAGAAGATTGGAGAGAGGGATGGGGGGGGGAAGAGAGGGAGAGAGAAAGAGAAAGAGAGGAAGAGAAAGAGAGAGGAAGAGGAGAGGGAGATGAAAGGGGGAAAGGAGAGGGAGAGGAAAGGGAGAGGAAAGAAAGGAAAGAAAGGAAGGGGGAGGGAGAGAGAGGAAAGAGAAAGAAGGGGGAAGCGCAAGTGCCTCTCTCTCTCTCTCTCTCACACACACACACACACACAGAGTGGGGGAAGAGGACTGGCAGACCAAGGGCAGAGAGAGAGAGAGAGAGAGAGAGAGAGAGAGGGAGGGAGGGAGGGAGAGACACTTTTGACATCTAAAATGAAGATAACACTGCATTTATCCTTTTTTATATCCTTTATATATATTATATATATAATAAAGGTAAAAAAGGATTTTTGTGGCTCCCAGTGTTTTGTTTTCCGTGGGAAATGGGTCCAAGTGGCTCTTTGAGTGTTTTGGGTTGCCTACCCCTGACTTAGGCTAAGAGGAAGACTGAAGCTATCTGACCTTAAGAAGTCAGGCTCCTGGTAGATCCAGTGCTATTACACCCCAAAACAGGCATCCGCTAATCTGTCATAAGTCACTACTAAGAATGAATGTTTCCTAGGAAGTTCTGTATACCTTGAGAGTAGTAACGCTTGCTTTCTTGCTTCTTCCAAAGCAACTCTAGCCTCTTCCTCAGCTCTCCTCCTTCTCTCCTCAGCCTCAAGCCTCATTTTCTCTTCTTCCTCCTTTTTCCTCTTCTCATACTCCAGCCTTTGCTCCTCGGCCATCTCTGCTAGCTGTCGCCGTTCTTCCTCCAGCTGCATCTCCATTTCTTTCTGTCTGCGTTTTTCTGCTTCTAAGGAACGGAGAGCAAGTGAGCGAGCTACCAGCTATTTCTATTTTAGGAGAAATAAAGTAATTGAAGTGAGAAGACAGGAAAACTCTATTTGGGGGAAACCTCAAGTGCATGATTAATTAGCAGATGTTTTATTGCAAAACATTTATATTTTTGCACTGTGGTACATTATGAAAAGCTAGAGGACCAAAGGAAAACATTGTGCCAAATAGTAAACAGCTCTGTAGTGATGTTTGGACTGAATAAAGAAAGTGGGCATAAATAAAACTTCAAAAAACAAAATATGAACTTAGGCCAGTTTCTCTCTCAGCCGAAATCTGCCTCTTGTGGAGATAAAACAGGAACACGGTGAAGAACCGAAATAAACCTCTAGCTGATAATAAGTTGAACTCTTTGATGTTTTCACCAGAAATGGAATACTTACAGTGTTTATTTGCCTAGGCAGACCTTTTCTTCAGCTATTGTGTTGCTGTTAATATTAAAATTGTTTTTAGATTTTATGGTCTTTATTGGTTTAAACTACTGTACCATTTATTATATTTATAACAACTAATTTTATGAAGCTTGTTTTTATGAAAAGCAGTATAAAATGTTGGAAATGAACAAAGGATTGTTCATGATAACAAAATTTGTCATGATGATTTCTTTGGAGATATAAGTGCAAAATATGGAATTAAACATAAGAATTCTTCAAATCCACTGGATAAACTGAAAAGAATTTCTAGAGACAAATATTTAACATCAGCAATCGGATTTTGTATAGAGTTAAATAAGCTCATATTCATTGATTCAATAACCTTAGCCTTTAACTACCATTGAACTGAACTGCTGAAAGAAATGCCTAAGAATTCCATTGGAGACCAGAGCCAAGGAAAAGGGAATTGAAAACAGTCTTGAAACCAAAAAAAAATGATAAGAGAAATTAAGAGAGAAAGAAAGAAAAAGATAAGTAATAGTAGTAAAGTTGGAAGGGACCTTGGAGGTCATCTAGTCCAACCCCCTGCTCAGGCAGGAAACCCTACACCATTTCGGACAAATGGCTGTCCAGTCTCTTCTTAAAAACTTCCAGTGTTGGAGCATTTACTGCTTCTGGAGGCAGGCTATTCCATTGATTAATTGTTCTCACTGTCAGGAAGTTTCTCCTTAGTTCTAGGTTGCTTCTCTCCTTGGTTAGTTTCCACCCGTTGCTTCTTGTCCTGCCTTCAGGCGCCTTGGAAAATGTTCAATGAATACGAAGGAGCGAAACCCTCCCACAAAAACATCTTACTGGATTTGTCTCCTGTACCTACAACAACATCCACAAAACTATAGGAAGACTTTTTGGTCCAGCGGAGCATACTGATTACGAAAGATATTGGGGGGGGAAAGGGGGGCTAAAGTTAGAATTAAGAAATTAGATGAGATCTATCAGATGGAATATCTAAAGATTAATCACTTGTTTGAATATGGTTTAAAAAAATAGAAAAATTTTGGATATAAATGTATTTTAGTTTAAGAGGAATGGACCCCTCAAATAACAGTATTTTTTTCCTTTTTTTTCTTTTTATGATATGAGAAATATAAAGATGTTGGGATGGTTTCTATGAGGGAAATGCTTTAGATACCTAAGTGTAATTGATCTTGAGAAAATCTCAATTGATAAAAATGTTCTGAATAGATTCAAAAGATTAAATGATTGGATTTATTAGATGGAATATTTAAAGATTAAACATTTGTTTGAATACGGTTAAAAAGAATAGAAAAATTCTGGATATAAATGTATCTTAGCTTAAGACGGACATGTTTCGCAAGTAGTATACTATTTCCTCTCTTTTTTCTTCTCTTTTTTTTTTAAGATATGAGAAATGTAAAATTGTTGGAATGGCTTGTATGAGGAAAATGACTTAAATATTTAAGTGTAATTAACTCTGAGAAAATCTTAACTGGTAAGAATGTTTTGAACATTGCGGGAAAAACAAATCTAAATAAGAACTTTGAAAACAGGATCTATGATGAGGTAATTAAGATGATTAATTAGAAAATAAGCTTTATATTGATGTGTGTTAAATATTAGAAAAATGTTTATATTCAATTGTTATTTATCAAAATAAGAAATGTACTTATTAAAGGTTGGTAAAAGAATATTATTGGAAGAAGGAAAAATCAAAGAGCTACCATGTGGATTATGGAATTATAGAAATTAACTGTTATTGTTTTTAAATATAAACTCGGACAACACGCTGTTTACGAAATATTAAGGTGACTATGTTAAAAAAATCAGTAAAATATATTAAAAAATGAAAACAGTCTTGAAACAAAAAGTAATTTTTTGTTAAAATGGAAATACTACTTTTTCCAGGCAAAGGACTACTCTTGGCCTTTGAGAGGTGCTGCTGAGATAGCAATAGCACGTAGACTTATATAATGCTTCACCGTGCTTTACAGAGCTGTCTAAGCAGTTTACAGAGTCAGCACATTGCCCTCAACAATCTGGGTCCTCATTTACCGACCTCAGAAGGATGGAAGGCTGAATTAACCTTGAGCCAATCAGAACTGAAGGAATCAAATTCCTGGCAGTGTGAGCAGAGTTAGCCTGCAATACTGCATTCTAACCTCTGCGCCACCATGGCACTTGAAAGTACATTTTTAAAAATATATTAAATCAGATAAGCTTACATAAAACCTAATTATTTAAATAAGGACTGTGCATTTAACATTTTCTTCCTTTCCATATAGTTATTTGAGTGATAATAGAAGACAGTGCAAAGGCAGCCATTAATAGAAATAATACTTGACACTAGAAAAGATGGATCCATGCATTAAGGATTATAGAAACTAAGGTAAGACATGGAATACAATGCCCGTTTCCTCTTTTAAGGAAAATGCAAATTGATCAAAAAGCCATTTGAAACATCCAAAGATACAGTAAAGGCAAGCTTCTACAAAATGCATAGATATTTCTTATAAACTACAGTAAACGATTTTTCACCATGAAGTGAAACTAAAACTTCCTTGGCCCGATTCTAATCTCAAAACTTTGCCAAATACTTGATTACAAATAGTTCTATTTTGCCACCCCCATTAATCCAGGAAATTTTCAATGATACCATCCATCAAAAAAGCTTAATTTTCAATACATGGTACAAAAGCCTTATTGACACTCTAGACCAAGGCTTTTCAACCAGTGGTACGGGTACCACCTGTGGTACATTGGCACCTGGCAGGTGGTACGCGACCATCCTAGAAAAGTGGTAGCGGGGGAGGGGAATGAGCTGAACCGGTGGCAGCACTACACAAGCCTGAGCGAGAGATGGCTGGAGCTGCAGGGCTGTCAGAGCTCAGCGGAAACACCAGGATCAGTGCCACTTTCTAGCTGATCGGCACTTCTTCGGGGCTGTCAGGGCTCAGTGGAAGCGCCAGGATCAGCACCAGGCTCCAGCTGGAGCTCGGGGCTGATCCTGGTGCTTCTGCTGAGCCCTGAAGAAGCACCAATCAGCTGGAAAGCAGCACTGATCCTGACGCTTCTGCTGAGCCCTGAAGGAAGTGCCAATCAGCTGGAATGTTGCAGCATCTCCAGGGTCTTGTGATTTACATTCAGATGCTTGGCAACTGATTCATATTTATGACTGTCACAGTGTCCCAGGGTCATGTGAAGTGACCAAAACCTGCTGCAACCACCCAGCAGATGGGGGGAAATAAAAACCAAACACCCCTCCACCCCACTCCCGCTTCCAATCCTCAACAGAAATGCTCACAACAATGAAAACCTTGGACAGGAGGAAGAGCGCCACTGGGTGGACAGGCAGGTTTCTTGCTTGGCTGTGGCTTGGGGGGCACTTTTTTCAGTGCCATTGTAACTTCAAACAGTCACTAATCAAACTGTTGTAAATCGAGAACTACCTGTACCTTATCACTTTTTTCCTTTTTTCCTTTTTTTGATCATCAAGTTTTTGACACCTTACTAGGTACTTGGGTGTTGCCATATCCTAAAAGTGGTACAATGGGTGAAAAGGTTGAAAAGCCCTGCTCTAGACCACTAGAAAATTAATATTTCACTGGGAAATGTTTTACACTTCTCTATTAGAATGTGTACTAAAGTGATAAAAAATCACCTAGTCAGGTGCTAGGAATAATGACTTTGATTCTAATTTTTCAAGGATCTGTAGAACTTTTAATTCAGCATTTATCCATTCCTTATGGTTTTCTTCCTTTCCCCACATCCTCTGGGTATTGTTCTGAATTTGGGGAGTAGTAATAATAAAGCAGTATGTGTAGTCAAATGAGAGGGAGACTGATTTTTAAAAACAGGTAGGGCAATTTGCCAAGGATAGGAAAGGAATGATATGGGTATATTTGAACTGACTGGCAACTTTTAGTAATGTTATTCCTCTGTTTGAAACAAACACAAATACACTTTACGTTTAAAAAAAATATGGTATCCCAAGGCATTCATTGTACAATATACTAAAGTAGCAGTCCCATCTAGCAGACCCTGCTATCTTCCTTGGCAACCCCCAAGTGCCATAAAGCCGGGCACTTAGAAACTTAAACTTTCCTAGGAAGTTGAAAATATAGCCAGAGGAGAGGAGCACCATGACAGTCTTGCTAAGGATCTCCACAGAGCTGGGATTGGCTCTGACATCATGGCCTATCTTGGATTACCTGCCCGTTCTAGTTCCTGCGCCTGCTTCTTCCTCTGCATCTCCAAAAACCTCCGACGCTGTTCCTCCTGTAGCCGCCGGGCCTGGTCTTGGGCTGCCTTCTCAGCTTGTCGTTCCCTGTCTGCCTCTTCTTCCTGCCGCTGACGCTCTGCTTCAAGCTGCTGTTTTCTTAAACTGAGAGAAAATAAAGCTGGTCATAAAAGTCCAGTAAGCATTGCTGGGGACTGTATTGTAGATGAAACGGAAATTTACTTTTTCCTTTTTATCTATATGGCGGGGCAAGAAAACTTGCTACAACAACAACGGTAGGAGCAGCATAGTAGCTAAGAACTATTTCTACACTCTTCATTGGGTTAGCTGGAGGGAGCACTGATTGGTTCATGATGTTCCTTGCCTGTTCTTAATTTCCAAAGCTTCAAAAGACTTTGGGGAACCAGAGATAGGAAAGGCTGCCATGGGTATTCATGGTTTCTTGGCAGTTTTTGGATGGGGGGGGGAGGAAAGGGTGTGGAAGCATCCCACAATTTCTTTTGTCAAATAGGAGACGATTATTTTTTTTCTGCTAACCGAAACTCCTCAATCTTCCTTTGCTTCTCCTGTTCCATTTCTTCTCTCATTTTCTCCATACGCTCCTGCTCCTCCTGCTCTTTCTTTTTCCGCTCCTCCTGTTCTTTTCGCTTTGTCTCCACTGCCAGCCGTCGCTTTTCTGCCCTCTCTGCTATTATCCTGTCTCGTGATAGTTTCAACTCTTCTTTGTGCAGGGACAAATCCTGGTCAATTGAAAGGGGGAATAAAAGAAGATTATGATCAAACACTAAGTCTGGCCTGGACTTCATTAATGGGCTAGAGAAGGGCATTTCCAAAGTATTTGGTATTTGAAGATGGTAGATACGGGATTTATTTAAACTGTTAGAACTCTGGCAAACTTTATCAAGTTTACAGCAAGCATTATATTACCTTTATTCCAAGGGCCTTGAACCCCACACCTCATCCCACCCTCTGCTATTATCTTCACAATAATTCTGTATGATAGATTAGGTTGAGAGATGATGATTGGCCAAAGGTCACCCAATGTGACTTATCCCTGCATGGAGATATGAACTCAAATTACCCTATTTTACTCAAATGCTGTAGCCTGACAAGTTGTCCTCAGGCCTTTTAAATGCTTCCATGTGATGACTTTACACCAGTTTCAAAATCAGTTTTCATAACATTGCTAGTATTGAGAACTGACATTTATTTATTTATTTTTGGCTTATAGTGAACTGGAAATAGTAGTAAAGCTAGTCTTCCCTTTGAAATACTACAGCTGTTTCTCAATTCTCAATCTATATCTGCAGGAATCACACACCTGGGTCATGTACAAAGTCAGATTACCAACAAAAAATAAAAAAAGACCTCACCCTCTATTTCTCCAAAAGAGAAAATTAGATTATGAATAAAGGTAAAAAAAATAGTTCACCTTTTTAAAAATTGAGCTATGGCTGCCAGAAAAGAACCTGGAAACTAGAAGTCTTTGAGTGTGAAAGTTCGTTCTCTGAGCTTTTGGGTTGTCCCAAATGTTTCGTTAGCAGGCTAGGTAACATCACCATCCAACCAAAATTCTAGGGACGCTACGTCGATGACACTTTCGTCATCATCAAATGCTCCCAAATTGAAGAAACACACCACATTGAAGATGTTTCCTAGCCTCCTAATGAAACATTCAGAAACCAACCCACAAGCTTGGAAAACGAAACTTCACTCTCGTCCAATGCCCAAGCTAGAGATATTCACCACTACTGAAAACTAGAAGTCTTTCCTATAGCTGTTAGTTAATGCTTTGTTGTATCTGGTGGTTATTATATCCCTACAATTCAGCCTTCGTGCTTTTTATATAGACTCGTACTTCTTTACGTCAAACTTACCTATAGACGAAAAGCAGACCTGCATCATCCTGTAGTCTGTCAGAATTTTAACTTAACTATTGTAGGACTTTTTTATATTGCTATATGTGATTTTAGCAACTCTACAGTTTTTAATTCTTCCATCATTTCACATGTTGCATGTTATTAAAAATAAATGTTTACTTTTGATTTAATAAAGTTTGATCTCATTTATACCATCCAGCACCCAAAAGAATCTGGATGGATTTATTACCTAATCATATCCCTCAATATAAAGGGCCAAGAAGCAATATTATAGAATGTATTTCCTTTTTATATTTTTTTAAATTTTTTACTTGCAGTAAAATGAGTCGGGGGAGCCATGTCTCCCACATGCCATATTAGGACGGAGGATATCAGGTAAAGATGGAATATTGGCTCATCCATAAGGCATAAATTGAAGCTTCAGTTAATGAGGGCAGCTACATTATGAGGTAGAAGATCAACATCTTTTAAACCTTTTGCAGATCTCCTACAGCAGTGGTGGCAAACCTATGGCACGGGTGCCAGAGGTGGCACTCAGAGCCCTCTCTGTGGGCACACGCACCGTCGCCCCAATCCTAGGCCTTCAGCTGGGTTTTTTCACTTTAGGCCTCTGCTGCCGTGTGCAAAAAAAAAAAAAAGGTTCAATCAGTCAATTTCAACTTCTCGCGGGGAAAAAAAGATCTTGCAAATTTGGAATTGATTGATTGAACTTTTTAGTCCCACCCAGTCTGTCGTTACCACTGCAGCCATGCCCACCCAATGGGCCATGCCAACCCAATGGGCCCCGCCCACCCAATGGGCCACACCCAGCCAATGGGCCACACCCACCCGGAACTCGATGGTGCATAAGTAGGTTTTGGGTTGCAGTTTGGGCACTCAGTCTCTAAAAGGTTCGCCATCACTGTCCTACAGGGTCTCTAAATGGTTTGGTGCCTCAATCCTGGCATTTTTTCTAAGGTTTGTTTTTTGTATTTAAAATAAAGATAGTTTCAGAAAATATATTAATAAGTAGACAAAGAAAATGACTGAAGTTATTTAATACTCAATATATCATTAATAAAAGATAATACCAAACCAAATACACTGAGTTGTTTTTATGATATGAAGAAAAGGTATAAGTCTTTGAACTCCATTATAATATATATAACTCCATTATATATATGGGAAAAAACTCTTGAAGGCATAGCTATGAAGTTAAAAATTAAGCTTATACAATAGCATATTTCTTCATGGTCTGAACGATGAATTGGCATTGCTGACCATAGCTATTGTCAGACCTAATGTTTGTTACACATCTCACTGTATGAATACTGCACAGTTTTCCAAACACAGAGAACTATCATATGGGAAAAAAGGAGGAGGGCCTGAAATAGCAGTCCCATAACATACCTGAGTGGAAATGTTAAATAAAGCAAGCAAGCCTTAGTAGGACTACTGCTATAAATTTTAATATTAGCTGGAGGTCCAATACCACATTATTTTCAACATGCTTTTTTCTGTTCAATTTTGTTTTCTGACACGCCTTACCTATGGAGCAATCGAGGAAGGCAACACGTGCAAGGCCTTGGAATATCCTAGTAAGCGCTGTAGTTCCACACACAAATGTTGGAGGAAATCCTACTAAGGCAGTGGAGCTTACTTTTCATCAGACATTCATGAGAATCTGCTGTTAAGCTGGCAGATAATAAACAGTGCCCACTTCTAATTCAGATAAATCTGATACAAAGGTGGCGATGAACAGTTAGCTTCTTATATTATATCATAAGTTACAAGATACATAAATTATGTAAGAAAAATTTAAATCAGCCTCTATTCGGGGGGGGGGGGGAAGGAAACCTTACCTCCAATAGCAGTTTTCCCTGCTCTGCATCAGGCTGGGAACCATCTGCAGTGGAGACTGCTTTGTAGGTAGCAATGGATGTTTCACTAGCAGGTCCTGGATGAAACCCAGAAGTATTGCCAACCTCTTCACTAAATGTTTGGTTCATATCAAGTGTCAAGGGATGCTCCTCCATAAAAATGCTAGAATCGGGAAGACTTTGGTCACCTCCTCCTTCTTCTTCTCCGTGTTCTTCTACAAGACAGCTAATAGGTTCTGCTTCAGCATCTTCTTGCTCTGAATCTCTCTCGTGGGTTCCCTCTTCCACACGGGCTGATCGTTTGGCAACTGTTGGTTCCCCTTTGGAGTAAGCAATTGTTTTCCTAATAATCCTTTTCTCTCTGGGCTTCCCTGTAAGAAAGAAGTATTTTTATTCTGCTTTATTCCACAGATCTATAACTGGGACTAAAATTACCTTTTATAACTAATACTTTTTGGAGGGAGGGGAAGAACTTCACAGAGATTTTCAAATTATTAATTGTAGGATTAAGCCTGTGCTACAGCCAATTGTGTAATAGTACCTTCACAGGCATTTGGGAGTGAAGTGATAAAGAAAAACAGTTGAGTTTTTCTGTTCCGCAAATTTATACCTTAAGAAGGAACCTTGTCCCACCTGTTCCCCCCCCCCAGATCTGTTGAAGCATCCCTTATCTGCTCTTACACTATTCTTTTATAAAATGGGCTGTCAGACCACCAAGCTTTCCATTAAGAGAATTTATGCAACAGATCATTAGGGCTGAGAACACTTAGAAAATTAAATACCTCAGAACTCACTGTTTCAGCAATAGACATGACTGATTCACAGAATATTTTTAATGCGTACCAGGGAGTTCCTTCCCCAGAGGCATCGCCAATGGCTTCCAATAGAATATATGCAGCTCGGGGTCAAATTGTGGAATCCTTCATGGTCTCTGAGCTGGTTTTTTGGTTGCAGATGTTTTATACCCAACTAAGTAACATCATCAATGCTCTAGTCTACAACAACTTCTTTATAGTAGTGGCCAGAAAAACTAAAGGAAAACCAAGGAAGCTTCATCAGGAAAGGAGACTGAAGATGGCATAAATGTGCCATAATCTTGCCCCTGCTAATTTAAATGAGTATTTTCAACTTTAGAAAAATAATGCAATTGAATGCAATCTCGCCAAAACTCCATGCTCATTCTGTTCCCTTGCTTTCCTGGATAGACAGTTTCCCAGTTTTCCTTTATTCATTTCTTGGCTAATTTTCCTTCATTTCACCTTGAACTTGACAAGGGGTTGCTTTTGGTAAAGCAGGTTACCCTTCCTTGTTGAGAAACTTAGAGAATTATGTCATTCTTCTCTCCCTCCCCCCCTCCCTCCCTCCAGCTTCTTCCTAAATTGTTGATATGTAATAGCAAAGTCGTACCTACAACAAACTCTGTGTGACTTTGGTATTTCTCTTTCTTCAAACTCTTTTTTTGTTTTTTCAACCCATCTCCAGCTTTCTGTATTGGCTGTTTTTTTTGTCTTTCAGTCCTTTTGCTCTTTAAAACACCTTCAGCCTGTAAACAGGAAAAGAAGAATCAGATATAGACCTTTCCTTTTTAATGTAACCCTACCCTCTATCTGGGGAGTAAGTGTATGAACAAAAGCAGAGGCTCAGCCTAGTCCAATTCATCCTTATTGTAATTTTTCCAGAAAGTAGCATTTTTTTTCTCAACTGCGCTGAGCATCTCTGAAGTAAATTGCATCAATCTACTGAGTGACCAACTTTCCTGTATCGATTGACAATTAAAGGATAAATAATAACTGAACCATGGGTAGCAGAAAGAATACATGAAGCATCTCCACAAGATCTAAGAAGCCTAGAAAGCTGAATCCAGGAAAGAATGGTAAGAGAAAAGGGGAGAGGTTGCAAGAGAAAAGGCAAGTATTTCATGACAATTAAGAAAGAAGATCAACATAAGTATTGTATGACGGCAATGCTAAAGCTGATCTGGAAACTCACATTACATTTGCCAAGTTCCAGTTTTTCTAACAGTGATAATGGAATTCTGAAATTTATCACCAAATAGGTCCATGTCACCCAATCTAGCTTTGTTTCTCTCCTTCCTCCCCATTTCCTCAATAATCTAGATCCACATCAGTTTTGTTTGTGTTGCAGGCACAAGACGCAAACTCCAGCCATACCTGTTTGAGATGGGCAACCGCAGCTGGTTGGCTGGTTGACTCTGAAAATGTTATCACATCTTCCTCCGTGCCAAATGTTTCAGGAGCATACAGGTCAATTCTTAGATTCTCCATACCTTCTTCATGGTAGTCAAAAGGTTTTATGGGAGCATGTTCAGGATTTGGAGCTTGCCCTCTTTAAAAAATGCATTTATGGAATCATGTTTAGATCAGATAAACTCTCAGAAAACTCCCAAGCACATAATCTTTCTTCCACCTTATAAAATTAGCAAAATCAATCAAAGGACAAATAGCTTTTATTGTCCTTTTCCTAGTATTGTTCTCTTTGTTGTTTACTTTCAAGTGCTGGTACTTCTGGAGATATAACTCAGGAATGAACCTATCTTGCCTCCTTATTACTGGAAAAAGGAATTTTTTAATGTATTTATATTAATGGTACTCCCAGGACTCATTTAAGCTGATAGTTGCAGAAATATTCTACTCCAGTGGTTTTCAATCTTTTCTTCACCACAGACCCCCTTTAAATACTTTTTGATGCCCTAGACCATGGCCATGGACTTCCAAGACTTCTCAAGATTTAAATCCTAACATTTCTTCAAGCCTTCACAGATCCCGTGACAACATTCCTCCCCCCACCCAGGGTCTGTGGACCAAAGGTTGAGAACCACTGTTCTACTCCATTTTAATGTCTGAATCTTCCAAAAGGTCTTTTCAAAACCACAAGCTTTTCTGGGGAAGCATTGTCTGGTTTAATTCTCTAGGTTCTCCTACTTGAGCAGGGGGCTGGACTAGAAGACTTCCAAGGTCCCTTCCAGCTCTATTCTATTCTATTCTATTCTATTCTATTCTATTCTATTCTATTCTATTCTATTCTATTCTATTCTATTCTATTCTATTCTGCCTGATGGGGTCTTTGTAATCTTGCATTATATGAAGATATGGTGGATGGAAATAGATAGTCCTGAAAGGCTACCCTGTTTTGGATCCACAGAAGTAGAGCACAAATTATGTGGCCCAAGTTGGTTGAAGAGACCCTGGAGTTTTTGATAATGTTTGAAGAAAGTACAATATTTGATGAAAAAGCCTTGTTTGTTTGCTTGTTCATTTATTATTGGTATTTTTATGCAGCTCTACTCTAAAAGAAATCTGAGCAGTCTATGCAAAGGTAATAACATTATAATTATATGAACCTAGAGATAGAGTTTAAAAAGAAATCTAACTCCTCCAAATATTGCAAAAGTTGACTGTTCTTAGATATTTTAGCAATGTAGCACTTACCAGATGTTTTGAACAATAGTTCTCAAAACTGGCAGTCAGTTTAGCCAGTCTGGAATTCTAGAGCTTGTAAGTCCAATACAGCTAGAGTGTCTCAAAGGCTACTAGTTGGAAAATAGGCAAATATATAACCATCTACACATGTAGTTTCTACCACGTCTATATTTGATTGTTCTTATGGCTTACAGTATACCTCTCAGGCATCTAAGTTAATCTTCTAACTATCCAGAATTTAAAATGTTTGTCCACATTTGCTGATGCTTCAGGTCTATGTGCTTGACTGTCCAATATATGTTATTTTCTTACACTTCTACAAGTTAATAGCTGTCCCATATACTTACATTTCAGATGTAGAAATCTTCAAATGAGCAAGGCGTGGTTGATAGTGGAAGAGATTAATTGACTGAGCTGAGGAATCTAGTTGCTCCCCTTCATCTACAAAGGAAGAGGGGTGGTAAAAGAGCTACATTTTAGCAGGTTACTGTTATGTCCCGAGCCTTGCAAACGGGCTCGGGGCGTTTGCAGGCAGTCCCGGGCAGGTGCAAGCTGCCCGGGACCAGACAGGCTGTCGCCAGCGCCTGTGCGCATGCGCGGGTGCTGGCGCGGGAAAAGTAACACATTGACCCGGGAATTGCCTATATAAGAGGCTGGGAGCTTTTGGGCGTTGCTGAAGCCTTCACCTGTAAGCTGAACACAGAATAAAAGAAAACCTGAGAACTACAACTGCTTCTCGTGTCTGCTTTTCGCCAAGGACTCAACACTGGCGACGAAGGTGGAATGCCTTACATCGTCTGGAAAGGAAGAGGTGTAAGCTTACCCAAGTGAGTCCTGAGCGGCGGAACGGAGTTGACTCGGCAGCTACCCACCAATCCAGTGCGCATTCGGGGGTAGGCTGGCTGATAGACCCATCTCCTGAAGATGGCAAAAATTGGAAGGCTTTCGGAGTTCGACGTCTCGCATCCAGAGAGGTGGGAGTCCTACGTAGCCAGGTTGGAAAACTACCTCAAGGTGAACCAAGTGAGGGAAGATAGCTTGAAGGCTGCCACCCTGCTGTGTGTCTGCGGTCAAGACGCCTTCGAAATCGCGGAGAACTTCGCAGCACCTGTCCCATTAGAGTCTGTCAGCTACGCAGATCTAAAGAAGCTACTGAAGGAGCACTTCCAGCCTAAGATGTCCGTCATCGCATGGCGCCACACCTTCGAGCAGAGGGATCAACGATCCGGAGAATCGGCCAAAGAATACATCACCGCATTAAGAAAGGCCGCCAAGCACTGCGAGTTCAAGGACCTCGAAGAACGACTGAGGGATCGATTCGTGTGCGGGCTAAGGCATCGAGAGCTACAACAGAGGCTTTTCGCCAAAGAGGACTTGTCTTTCCAAGATGCCTTGAGAGAGGTCACCGCAGAAGAAGCAGCAGGCGGCGCCATCAAGAACATGCGGCCGATCAGGAACAGTCCAGATGTTGCATCCGTGCACCAAGAAGAAGTCCGAGGGAACTCCGAGGAGGATCCAGACGAGGAAGTCGACCGTCTCCACCCCACGAAGGAAGAGAACCGGAAAGGAAGCTCTTCAGCTCCCCTCAAGTGCATCGGCTGTGGAGGTCGCCACAGGAGAGCCGACTGCAAGTTCCACGCCGCTATCTGCCGGGCGTGCGGGAAACAAGGACATATTGCAGCTGTGTGTCTGGGCCGAAGAAAGGTACAACCTCAGGAAGAACTGCGGCTGAAAGGTACCAGGGTCCCCAGCCAGAATAGGGTAGGTTTTTGCGCTTCGCGAAGGAGCATCTTTAGGACAGGCACACACAAGCCCATTAAGAAAAAGCTGTCACTCAAGGTGAAGCTACAAGGGGTTCCATTAACCATGGAACTAGACACAGGGTCTGCACTTTCAATCATCTCCTTGCCTACTTTTAGGAAGATTTGTTCCGGCAGTGGAACTCAGGCCAAGTTAAGGCCTTCTGACATAGTGCTAACAGATTTTCAGAATTCGAGAGTGTGTGTTAAGGGGGAGGCCACCCTTAACGTACAGTATAAGAATTTTGAAGGTCCACTAGACCTATTAGTAGTAGGGGGTGAACGAACGAGTCTCATAGGACTCGATTGGTTTGAAGCCTTGGGGATACACGTCACGGGGCTCAACAGCTTACAAACACTCGACCTACAGGAAGTCTGCAAAGAATTTGCAGATGTCTTCAGCCCCCAGCTGGGCACATTCAAGGGACCCCCTGTGTCCTTAAAACTAGACCCCACTGTCACTCCCATTAGAATTAAAGCAAGAAGGGTCCCTTTTGCTTTAAAGAGTAAAATTGACACTGAATTAGACAAACTGATCCAACAGGGAATCCTAGAACCTGTTGATTCCAGTCCTTGGGAGACCCCCATTGTCACGCCTCTAAAGGCAAATGGGGACATTCGCATTTGTGCTGACTACAAATGCACTCGGAATAAGGCATTGCAGCAACATGCCTATCCTGTTCCTGTGGTCAGTCATATTCTGGCCTCCCTCAAGGGGGGGGCGCGTTTTTGCAAAGCTTGACCTAGCTCAAGTGTATCAACAGCTGCCTGTTGATGATGATGCTGCTATAGCTCAGACTATTGTGACCCACAGGGGAGCCTTTAAGGTAAAAAGGCTACAGTTTGGAGTGAATGTCGCTCCTGGGATTTTCCAAAGCGTAATGGAAAACACACTACGGGGCATACCGGGGGTTTGCCCCTACTTTGATGATGTCTTAATTGCAGGAGACTCCACACACATTCTAGCTGAAAGGCTAAGGACTATTCTGTTAAGGTTCAGGAAAACAGGCCTCAAGCTCAAAAAAGACAAATGCAAAATTGGGGTGCCTTCTACTGAATTTCTGGGGTTCAAAATTGATGCTGCTGGGATTCACCCTGCTGAATCCAAACTAACTGCCATTTTAGAAGCACCTAGGCCAAAGTCTAAGGCCGAACTTCAGGCCTTTCTGGGCCTCCTGAATTTCTACAATTCCTTTCTTCCACATAAAGCTAGTGTAGCTGAGCCTCTTCACAGGCTGTTAGACAAACAAGCAGTGTGGCAGTGGTCACAAACATATGAGGCTAGTTTCAATGAGGTCAAGGCCTTACTCACTTCTAACAGTGTACTTGCACACTTCAATGAGTCCCTTCCTGTGTGCATTGCTTGTGATGCTTCCCCTTACGGGGTAGGAGCCGTCCTGAGCCACCTCAGGTCTGATGGAACTCAGGTTCCTGTTGCATATTACTCCAGAACACTGTCTTCTGCTGAGCGCAACTACGCTCAGATAGACAGGGAGGCTCTGGCTGTTGTTGCTGGAATTAAAAAATTCCATGATTTTTTGTATGGCAGGCATTTCACGGTCTTCACTGACCATAAGCCTCTGCTGGGACTGTTTACCACACGTAAACAAACTCCCCAAATCATTTCCCCTAGAATGCTTAGGTGTCTATTTTTCTGTCTGCATATGATTTTTCCTTACTCCACAAGCCTGGGAAAGAAATGGGCCATGCTGATGGCCTCAGTAGATTGCCCCTGCCAGTAGTAGAAGCTGACCCTGCGCCAGCTGTCAACATTCTTTCCATCCAAGCCTTGCCCGAGTCCCCTCTGAATGCCAGGGATGTTGCCGCTGAAACAGGCACAGATCACACACTTTCACGTGTCCTTTCTTGGGTTTTGTCTGGATGGCCTGAGCACTGCCCTAGTCCTGAGTTTCAGAGTTTCTGGTCCAAAAGGAACGAGTTGTCCACTTCTCAGGGTTGTCTGCTTTGGGGAAACAGAGTTGTCATTCCCACCTCAATGAGGACTAGGATCTTAGAGTCCCTCCACGAGGGTCATCCTGGCATTGTTCGCATGAAGGCCCTTGCGCGCAGCCACTTGTGGTGGCCTGGGTTAGATAAGGACATTGAGCTAAGGTGCATGCATGCCACCTGTGCCAGCGCTCTCGCCCAGAGATGCCCCAAGCTCCTGTGCATAGATGGGAGGATACACAGTCCCCATGGTCTAGGGTGCACATTGACTACACTGGGCCCTTTCAGGGCCAGTTCTTCTTGGTCCTCGTTGACAGTCATTCAAAATGGCTTGAGGTTGTACCTGTCTCATCCACCACCACTGCAAAGACTATTCAGGTACTGAGGGGGATTTTTGCTGCACACGGGCTCCCAGATGTCATCGTGTCTGACAACGGCCCTCAATTTACTTCCTCCGAATTCCAAGCTTTCTTACAGGCTAACATGATTCGTCATGCCACGTCTGCACCCTTCCACCCGTCCACCAACGGTATGGCTGAACGCATGGTCCGCATCACAAAGGACGCCTTGAAAAGACTCACCTATGGGGACTGGAATCACAGGTTGGCTGACTTTCTCCTTTCTTACCGCACCACACCGTCCACTTCTACAGGGAGAAGCCCAGCTGAACTTCGCTGGGGGCGCAAACTTACTACAAAGCTTGACCGGTTGCATCCGGACAGACTGCCTTCATCTACCTCACATCCTAGGGCACCTAGACAACTACTTGTGGGTGCCCCGGTTTGGACTCGCAATTACGGGCCTGGTCATACATGGGTCCCCGCTTCTATTTCCAGGGTCACAGGTCCTCTATCCTACGAGGTAGCCCTGGACAACGATCGTGTCCTGCGTCGGCACATCGACCAACTCCGCCCTAGGCGGGATCTTCCAGATGAGACTCCTGGGCCTTTTCCAGGGGGGGAGGGGGACCCTTTAGAGCAAAGGGAGGGGCACGAGCTGCTGCCCACCTCCAGTGATGGAGCCACAAACGGCCCATTCCAAGATTCCGTGAGTGCCCCAAACAGGAATTCTAAGAGCCTATCCAACTACCAGGCATTCACGCCTACTCCAGCCAGGGAGTCACCCCGGGGGTACAATCACTATTCACCTGCACAGCACAGTACTCCAGTCAGGGAGGATACCCGGGAGCGTCCCAATAAAGCATACCCCGCAAGAGAGCTGGCACATCATCCCCAGAGTTGGCCTGACCTTACCCCAAGTCCTACAGGGGGTCAAACATACAGGGAGATGGTCGAGGAACCAAGTCCCGACCGCAACACCTCTAGCCCAAATCAGGGAGTAACTGAGTTTTGGGAAGGTACAGAAACCCACACGAGCCCGGACACAGCACGGGGTTTAGGGAATGGACAGCCTCCTGACAGGTCTTGGACGGACCTAGGAGGTTCTACAGAGACGCCCAGCAGTGGCTATCACTTCAAGGGGCCCAAGGGCCTACAGCTAGGCAGGTCAACCAGGTCACAAAGTGACAAAAGCCCTGGCCTGACGAGCCCGGTGGACGAGCAAGCAGGCCAGGCATTGGGGCACAGTCCTGGGAAGGCACCAAGGCAAGATAAGGAGAACAGGCTCACGTCTCCCTTCAGTCAGGGAACACCTGTCAGAAACCCAGAGCTGAGAAGGTCACAGAGAGCAAGGAAA